GTTTATATTTAATGTTAAAGTATATCTGAGTCTGAATTTAGATGACACATTTTATCATCATTAGAAGTGTGAAATGAGGCTTTGTCTTTGTTACAGCAACATGATTCAACTAAACTGAATGCAAACTTATTCATACAACCCCCAAGATGCTTCACAACACTCTCAGTCATCCTCCCTTACACGCTGGTGATGATGAGCTACAATGCAGCCACAGCTGCCCTGGGGTGCGCTGACAAAGGTGAGGCCTGCCGAGCACTGGCGCCGCCAGTCCCTCTGACCACCACCAGCAGGCAAGGTGGGTTAGGTGTCTTGCCCAAGGACACAAAAGCTGCATTTTAGAAGCCAGGATTGGACCTGCAGTCTTCTGCTAACTGGACTACCCACTCTAAAGAAAATGTGTTTCCAGCCACTTAAATTCTTTCTTTGCTGACCACAATCTATGCCAAAGTACAATCTGGTATAAAATATATAAGGTAAAAAATAAACCTGCAACAAACACTCAAAAATTTAAATATTTTATACAATAATATTTAATGTTTACATTTTGAACACAAAATGTTAGCATTACTCAGGTAATGACATTTCTGCAAAGATTGCAACTTTTTCAACTTTCGTTTGCAAGAGTTTCGCTTTTAATTTTGAATGACCAAGATATTTGCATCTAGTAGAAGCTCAACAAAAATTATACAGTCATTTATTATTTCTTCTTTTGTACTCCCATTTTCCTTCACAATGTTTAAGTTTTTTTCATATGTAGCCATAATGTTGTACAGAAAATTATAACAATAGCTGCCAAAGTCTAAAGAAAAACTTTGACAGATGAAACAAAAACCTGTGGAATCCAGTCAACCTTGTGTGTGTAGGTAGAGACAAACAGCTTCTGTGTCAGGGAGGGGTCCTCAAGGCTCCAAATGTGACGCTTATTTTTAAACGTATGGTCAATACAACTAATTTACATGATGTTCTACCTCATTTCAGTAAAAAATAATGTAGCTGCCAGCTGAGCAGCTGATGGTGATGACCCTTAATTGGCTCACAGAATTCACAAATAAGCCACACCCTTCCAGAGGGGAAAAAAACTACTTGGGTTAATTTGTTTGTCGGAGAAGACAACATTGTTTGAAGTATGACATCATGTCTTCAGTCTAAATTTACCTCAGCTGCATGTTGCCCACTTCCTCTCCATGTAAGTTGTGTTGTATTGATGCTTTGTGTGGGTAATTTGTTTGACACTCTATAATCATTGTTTGTTGTTCTTGTGCATCTCCTAGTCAAATCTACAGATAAAGCAGCTTTATGAGGAACTATTGTTTTGTTTGGCACCCTTGGCCAGCGGAGGCGATTCAGCATCATTTAAATTTATTTAATTTAGAATCCACCGATTGCTATAAAACGATGCTGCTAGTGGCTGATCACAATCATTTGCATTTATGTCAAAATTTTGTTAAATTTAAAGGAAAAAAATCTGTTAAAACTTAACTTTTAAAAAGCTATTTTCAAAATAAAAGTTTGATTAATCCTTATGTGGATTTTGGATCAGTGCCGTAGAATCTGAGAATTGTGCCACTCCTAATGTTGCCAATATTTTTGTGATGTTGTTGGACGCATATAGTCGTTTCCACAATACTTGCTGCCCGGTGGACAAAAGATTATGAACACTTTGGCCTTCAGAGGGTGCAAAACACACAAATAATTGCACAAAGTGTATCTTTGTTCTTTATGTGGTTCATGTCAGCCACAGACTTGTTCATTAGAGTTGAGTTGAAACTGTTGAAGCCTATGCATGGAGATGGTCACAGATGTGTAGGAGATTTAGTCTAATCTGGTTTAGCCATGTTGCTGCAGGAAAAAAATAACAAGAAAATAAGAAAGAATAATAAGAAAATAAAGCGCTTGACACCATTTATTGCACACAGAAAGGCAGAAGGCATTAATCAGTAAATAAAAGTAAAATCAACCTCTGGTACACTCCTCAAAAGGCACATTAATGCCCTTTTATCTCAAAGTCTGTGGTTGTTTTCCAAGGCAACAGTTGTTTAACCTTACTCCCATCTCTTTTTTTGAATTCCCCGATAATGGATACATGCGGTGGACTGAAACTGAGGTAGTCAGCCAAACAAAATGAGTAAAAACTAGCATTAAGGTCGCTCAGCAGGATGTGAGCTTAAGCAGGAGCAAGGGGCCGTTTGAGTGAGATCGGCAGGCGGACATTTCTTTTTATCTGAGGGTCCGTGCTGAGAAGCTGATCCATATTCGGCTTCATCACAAGCTTACTCACAAGATGAGATTACACATCGCAACGGGATCAGTTTACATTACTGTGAAACACAAGCAAAACTAAAATATATCCACACATGAAGGCGGCTGCTTTAAAGCGAATGTTTGCATTAAACTGTTGCATATTCTTCCCCATCCTTATGATGTTCACTGGTCATTTCCCAGTCAGAATAAACTAATAGGGAATGTTTCCAGTAAAGTCCATGCTGTCCTTATCAAACTGTTCATTGGAAGTAGCAAACTGGTGCATATTATTGTCAATCCAGGCTAAATTTAATATACAGAGGGAGTTGCTCTCAGCAGCATACTGGAAAACAGTTTAGATCGCATCAATCCGCTGGTGCTGTCTCATTTAAATCCCATCAAGATCAGCGTAATTGTCTCTGCTAGGAGCCCATTAAGCTAAATATGAAAATTAGAGTGACAAAAAGACAGAATAAGTAGAAAGGAGGATTTTATGTGGCCAATAAACCAAAGAAAGATTGTTTTCCCCTTTGAAGCAATTAGAAGTTCAAAACATGGCCAGCAGGGGGCTCCTTCCTCCCACAAATGAATATAACTTTAATTCTAAAATTAGACCTTCTTGCAATGAAACAAACAAACAGCAAAGATAAAAAAAAAACAACCTCAAAAAAATCTACAATAAATAATTGATTGTGATAGCATAATGAGTATGAAGCAGATCTGGTCAGCTGAACAACTGATTTAACAGACTTCTAAAATGTCACAAAGTTTCCGAGACAATGACTCAAAACTTTAAAAGTTAATCAGGGCAGGCCTATAAAGGTCAAAATTAAGAGCTTCGAATCAAACGGACTATAAAAAGGAGCGTTACGTACATTCCTGCGAGCACGTTATGCAAATTGTGTTCAGTCTAGAGAGAGCAGGGTGCAATCAAAGCCAGAATCCTTAGAAAATAAATCAAAAGCATGAAACCTCATCATGAAAGAAAAGAGATTTGTAATAAATAAATAAATTAGTTAAAAAAAAAACTCCAGTCTTAGAGCATCCCCTGGGACCCACTGCAGCCAAAAGCACAGTGTTGGCCAGAGAATGAAAGACCCGGATGTAGAAAAACGACATGAGAAAGTTCAAGTACAATCATGAGAATCAACAAAACCAACAAATAACATAAAACGGTTTGAAATGCACAGTTAGAAATAAAATGTTGAATTTACTCAACCAAGTTAGGCCAAAATATGAAACTAAAGAGTATCATACATCATTATATGTTGTCATGTTCAAAGTAAATGTATATTACTGTTTACTTGTAAACAACAAGGTTTAGTGGAACCCGTTGACGTAGCTTTAAGTTGCTTCAACATTTTGTTTCTTACAGTATAGCTGTAGTGTGATGGTCCGATTGCCTCTGTGATTCAAAAATATACACACAATCCAGAGGAATCATCATACATGACACCATGTAAACATCAAAATCATCTGAAATGTCGTCGGTGTGGTTTCACCGACAGCTTGCTCGTGATGCTATATTATCAGGTCCCTTAATCAAAGCCTCATTTGGCACCAAACAAGAGTATAAGTAAAAAAATAAACCCGTGTAATTACACCACACAATCACAGGCTTTTATAGCTTAAAACAACAGTAACGACAAAACTGAAAGCACTTTAGTGTAGAAGTTTCTGCCCTTGCAGTATTTTACGAGTAGCTACAAATAGTACCTGTGGGTTGTTTGCGTTTCTGTGTTTTTGTTCTTTTAATTGCAAAAAGCTTTGGGAAATGATGAAAACAGAAAGACATGATGCCTCTGCAGGTTCTTGGAAAGCTGATTATGATACAAACAGCAAACATGTCAATAACAAGAAAATAAAACCATCAATCGGCAATCCAAACACGTATCCACAACCTCTTTTAGCAATTTACTAAACGACTAACAATCCTCCATGGTAGATTTAGCACATTCTAAAAAATGAAATGTTGAGTTTACTTAACCAAGTTATGCCAACCGCTTCCATTACACCTATACATTTAATTTTAACAATGATGTCTATTACTCTTTACATTTAAGCAATTAGGTTTATTGGAACCATTTGACATAACTTGGTAAAGTCACTTCAACGTTTCATTTCTTACAGTGCCTTCTTTCAGATACATTCTTGAGGATAAACCTTAAAATAAATAAAACTCCAAGTCAGACACACTGAATGCACGTTGATAGCAAAAAACGTGTCATGAGTCAATTTTTTTATCAAATCTCCAACAAAAAAAGTTAATTCACCCAGGTGGTGTGTGTGTGTGTGTGTGTGTGTGTGTGTGTGTGTGTGTGTGTGTGTGTGTGTGTGTGTGTGTGTGTGTGTGTGTGTGTGTGTGTGTGTGTGTGTGTGTGTGTGTGTGTGTGTGTGTGTGTGTGTGTGTGTGTGTGTGTGTGTGTGTGTCCCATCTGCACAAGTGTGCACTAACTGTGAGATGTACGTTGAGCCAGGATGGCAGCTTATGAGAAGAACAGAAGAGTGCGTAGACACGACCCTTAACAGGGTAAACAAATAATGCAGATTGTGTTTTTAGACAGGGCTGAACTTGACAAAACTGTGTCATTTCATGGTCTGGATGAGGAATGCATCACACCGGGGTAAGGGTTGGGAAAATGAGGAAGAGCTTCAAAGTACAGCAAGTTGTGTTCAAAACACATCTGCAATCCCACAAAACAACAACAAAAAGCCCCACAGCAACATAATGCTGTGTACAAAAGAGTCCAGTCATGAGTCTGTAGGATGGAGCTGTTGGACACACCAAAGACGGTCTGGCACGGGTGCTAAGGGGTGGACAGCTGATCTCAGAGCTGCTCAGACCAAACTCCGTTTGGCTTATAAGGAAGGAAGAAAACAGTCACTGGGGTCACATGTCCCTGGAGGTCCACGGGGACCCGGAGAGCCAGGAGGGCCTTGAGAGTTGATCCCAGGTGGGCCTAGACAGAGAATCAGATTTTATAGTTACTGCAGTGGGCTGACCTTTATCACCCCTCAGAGGAGCTAATTATCCTGATTAACCATGCAGATGCACAGAGTTTGATGTAAAAAGCTGTATGCAAAGAATATTTTTGAAGTGTGAAATGAAAGTGAATGCTCTTAAAATTATATGAACGCAAAGATTTGCACTACAATTAAAGCGCTGATGGATAAAGTGAATAAAAACCACGACATCCTTACATTACTGAGTTTTGATTTGTTTTGACTGGGTTTTAATGTTACTTTTAAACAGCCTAAACAAGAACCCACATCTTGGATTAGATATTTTGCCTTATAATCGTCTGACCACCACATAGACTTGAATGTGAATAAATCTCATTTAACTGTATTTTTAACTTCTGTGTATCAATAAAAAAAATCTTATATATGTATATAGCAGAACCTTAAATCTGGGGTACGTAGTTTAACATTTTAACCCTCTCAGGCTCTAAATAAGTTCTGATAAAAGGACGAACAACAAAGTCCTTCAGGGGTACTTCTGAGTTAAAAACTGCTCATGAAATACGTATGTGGAGTAAGCAGGTAGGTAGGTTTTAACGTTGCAAATCGGCAACGCCTGCCTCCAGAGGGTTAAAGTACCGGTAACTTTAAAATATTTGCCTCTACAGCTAAATAAATAATTTACGCGAGCCTAAAGCGTTGACCAATAGAAGTGTGTATCTATAAGAGGGAGCTGTCAATCAATGAAAACGGGCACCAGTTCCCAGCATGCACTGCAGGGTGATGCACTGGAACATTTAGCATAGCGTGAATGCTAACTCGACCTGCATTCAATTAATGTCAGTCTGTAAACTTCAAGCTAACTGGAACCGGAGGGAGGGGAACAAAAAAGGGTTTATTTTTGAGTATTGTAGCTACCTGATTAGCATAGCGATCAACCTTACGCTACATCAAACTACTGTCTTAGCCTGTTGTAGCATTAGCATTGGTGTGCTACAAGTGCCAGATTCTTGCCCTGCTTGAACACCGCAGTTTGGAATAAAATGAGTGATTAGCAACTCCTGTAGGACCCAGTGACGGCTGAGGAGATGCAGTGGGATACGAAAGTCTGGGCAGCGATTTTCCTTTATAAAATGCTGGCTGTTACGATAAAGAAAATCTGGTGAATATATCCTATAGGAGACACACAGTGATATTTGTCAAGTGACACAAAGTTTATACAGTTTACAGAAAGTGTTCAAAAATTGTTTAAACGAAATTGGACAGGTGCATAAATTTGGGCACCACAAAAAAGAAGTGAACTCATTATTTAGTAGATTCTCCTTTTGCAGAAATAACAGCCTCTAAAAGCTTCCTATAGCTTCAACGAGAGTCTGGATTCTGGTCGAAGGTGTTTTGGACCATTCTTTTTTACAAAACATCTCTAGTTCATTCAGGTTTGATGGCTTCACAGCCTAAAATCATAAATAACGATATATTGAGAATTTCACCTCGATAACGATAAATGGACGATAACTACAGGTATGCGCAGTGTGCACAAACAAAAGTTGTCCACTAGATGGGGCTGTCACATGTATTACGTTGAGTCACATTTTTATGCAACTCGAGGTGGTACAGCTTCTTAAATGGACATGATTGTTGCCAACCTACACACATCTTTTCATTTTTTTTGTTATCAAATTTATTGACATGAGAAAAACTTTCTGTCCGAAAGAGTCCGAAATTTCAATAATGATAAATTTTTGATTTATTGCCTAGCCCTACTTCCGAGCATGAACAGCTCTCTTTAACTCACCCCCACAGATGTTCAATAATACTCAGGTCTGGGGACTGAGACGGCCATTCCATAATGTTGTACTAGTTCCTCTGTATGAATGTCTTAGCAGATTTTGAGCAGTGTTTAGGGTCGTTGTCTTGTTGAAAGATCCAGCCCCGGTGCAGCTTCAGCTTTGTCACTGATTCCTGGACATTGACCTTACATGGACAAGCACCATCTTACATTGGTGATCTTCTTAGTCCCTACACCCCCAGCAGGTCCCTGAGGTCCAGTGACCAAAGCCTACTGGTTGTGCAGAGCACCAGACTAAAGACCAAATGTGACAGATCATTTGCTGCTGTGGCCCCCAGACTCTGGATCTCTCTCCCCCTAAGCCTGAGATCAGTGGACTCAGTGGTCTCCTTTAAAAAGCAGCTGAAACTCACCTGGCTTTTTTTCTTTATGTGAAGCGCCTTGTGATTTTTATCTTGAGAGGCGCTATATAAAAGATTGTTTTATTTCTTTCTTCTTTTGTATCATAACAACAAACGATTTATATAGGAAAATCCTGAAGATTAACAAGGCTTCCCAAACTTCCACATCCCACTTGTAATTCAATAGTTAGAATCAGGTGTGACTGAACAGGAACATATCAAAAACATTATTTGTAAGTTAGCACTACAAGGTTGTTTGTGTGCATGGTATGAGGCATGGCTCCTTCTAGACAAAGAGGGGGATCAGGGGCGGGAGCTTTAGCCTCACTGATGACATCATAACCACAGCTTTAAATATTTTCAGATTCTTTTTAAAGGTTTTTTTTGACCCTCTAACAACAAAACTCAATTTTATTATACAGTAGGCCTACTAACAGAAAAAAGAAAACCTAGAATTCTGCCAGCTCACATATGTTTTGTTGTGTTATAGAGATTTTAATTACGTCATTTAGGCTTTAAAGAGCAGGATAACTAAAACAACAGAAAAAGAACGCACATGTTAGACTGCCTTTGATTGATGTTACTTACATAAATCTAACTCATTAAATTTAATTTAGTTCTTATTTCTCTCCAAGTCAGAAACAAAAGCTGCTGATGTAACTGGGATGACAGCGATAGATCACCAGAATCTATAAGCGACTCTGCATCTGTTCTCCTCATCTGTGCCAGAAAAGTATTCATAGTAAAGGATATCGCATTTAAAATGAATGAAGCCATCAGCGTTCCTAATGAGACCGTTTTTTTAATGGCGTCCTTTCAATGATATGTAACTTATACGTAGAAAACCGGTCATCACATAACAACTTAAAGGTCAGCTTTACTCATTTTTAATAAATTAGCAGTTGTCTTCAGTAGGATATAATGCCTTGCAAAAGTATTGTTTGGGGGGTGGGGTTGGAGTCTTATTTCCTCACTCACCTCTGATTAGCTAACAGCAACTCAACTCTACCACTGACTCCATTTGCTTTGAAACGTGGATGTTGTACCTCCACAAATACCACAAGCCTGGAGGAGTTTTGTTGTGTGGAGGAGTTGCTGATGCTAACGATAAGCTTCTGCTAGTTGAGACATTTTCTGCTGTTTCCTGGGCGCTAGACAAACAACAGCCTTTGCTGTTGCGAGCCAAGATGGGCGAGGCCATGAATGTTAGGTAACAATGGGACGTAGATCTGCTAGGATTTTCTAATCCGTCTTATTTTCTATCAGAAGCAGGGGATAAGTGCAGGAGACTATTTCATGTTCACCCCCCATGAAAAACTCAGAGTGACCAATTATAATCAGAAATAATCATTAAAAAATGTTTTTTCAGTGAAGCTGGCCTTTGAAACATGAGCAGTTTTCATTCACTCAGATTGCCAGTAACTCCAGAGTTGAATCGTTCTCATTTCCGAAACTGCAAATATTTATTTTCTTCCTTAACATTTGAATTGATAAAACAGTTGTATAAATCTTCTACATGACTCAAACATCCAAGCTGTCACCAGTCCAAGGGGAACCTCCTCTCTGTAGGTGCTGCTGACGCCGGCTGTCTTTCATCATGACGGCAAAGAGAAAAAGGTTTGGTGGGTAAAAATAATCTGCTGTGAGCTACAGAGGTTTGTTAATCTCAGAGCATATAGGGAACGGAATCTCAATGGACCTGCATTCACATCAGCTGGTTGAAGATGTTGGTGACTCTTTTCCACGATGCGGCTCCAGCCTCAATCTAACCCCCCAGCAGTTATGCCGCAGGTGCTTTCCATAACCGAGCGCCTGTAGAGATGATTTCTTTTAACCCTCTGGAGGTTAAAACCTACCTACCTGGTTACTCCACATACGTATTTCATGAGCATTTTTAACAGCTATGGTTTATCCTCTCCAGAGGATCCACAGCTATCCGTTTTTTAACCTAACAGACGTTATGCACAGACAGTAGGATCGACTTTAGGTTTAATGATGATCTCCTGCTGTGGAAGGCTCAAAGTGGTTCTCGCACCAGCAGGGGACACGCTAACATCATCGCTCACTTCCTTTGCTCAGGATAATGGGAAGTTGGGATTTTAATTCACGGAACAGACACGATTTTCCATCACAGCTACTGCTGTTTTCTGGGCCAAATCAGCGTGAGGGAGATGGACTCGTGTATTACATGTAGAACTAAAAGGTTTTGTCTTCACACACCTTTTATTTGTTTGAAGACACGAGAAAAACTGATTAAAATGACAGGTCTAGTATTGATTGAAGGAATTGGTTTGATTTGCCACTTTTCATGCTAGACAAGAGCATCTTATGTTGAGAAAAAAATTAGAAAATAAAAATATAATCATGTAATACCGCAAAATCATGCACAATCAGATTGTGTTAAAATATATATAATGTGGATGACCCTTAGACACTTACTGACTCTCAGATGCAGCAAAACTGATTTATACTCTTTTGTGTTTGCTAAGCTTGATTAACTCACCCATTCATGGCTTTCTGAGAGTTTCATTAAAATCCATCCAGTGGTTCATGACTTAAGGTTGGTTTATGCTTGACGCGTCCGCGAGGTTCGCACGGCTCCGCGTGGCGAAATTGTGTCATTTTAACAACCACACCCCTCCACCGCGCCTCCGCACGGCCCAAAATTTCCACACCGCGCACCTAGGCAATTTTTAACCACGCGGATGGTTGGACGCGGAAAAAAATGGCAGACTGGCAAGAACTAGAATGGCAGAGGTTCGTAAATAAAGACATTTGTAGGATACAGCTCTCAGAGATCACCGTGATCAACATGTTGTTAATAATTCTTGGAGAGAAATAGCTCGCACTGTCGGAAAAGACGAGGACGCTGTTAAAAATGCAGAAATGCCATGTTGTAAACAGTAATTTTTACTTCTACTATGGTGTAGTGTTGGATGCATGCCATAGAGCTCCATGCTGCCCCCTACAGTTTGGGAGAATATTGGCTCACCGCAGAGACAAGCCGCATGAACCATAAACGCTGCAAGTTGTGAAGCACGTTCCATCCACGGGCCGCATCACCAAGCGGAAAGTGATTGTGTCAAGCATAAACCAAGCTTTATACAGCCAAACACACGCTGATGCACATAAGAGTGCCAGGCGACAAACAGTGAATGTGTAGGAGGACTGGCTGCCAGGCTTTGCCGGGCCATTCTGACACAAATGTGGCATTTCAGACATGTCAGCCCAAACACCTTTTCCACATTCTATCATATCTGTCAATAACTAATGGTTTCTGAGTGCTTCCATGACTAGAAAAATAAAATTTCCCTTCAAATTTCTAAACTCAAGGCCATGGCCAAAGACTGAAAGCAGCACCGTTTTATCTGCTTGTATTTTAGAAGCTCTGATCTTTTGTGCTGACTGCAAATGACTCACATGGCGGCTGTATTCATGGCTTATTTTATAGCTGGTTACGGGTATTAATATCTACGTTAAGGTGGTTGTATTTTTCTCAGTCCTGCTTCTCTTTTGAATAAATTCTACACACTCAAGCACCTGATTTCCTTTGAAAGCTGGGGGAGCGGAAGTGATAAAGAGGGCACTCTAGTATAAATTAATGCGTTGTGATTCATTTTCTGTAGACAAAAAGCTCTGGCGCTCCTGTTTCAGGAGATAAAGTTAGTCTGAGAAGCGAGGGGCAGAAAATGGCAGAATTAAGTCTTCCATGAAATGCATACATCTAGATTGGATGACAACAACGCAACTCTTCCGCTGCCTCTGTTCGCTCTTCTTTCCCGGTTAAAAACAATGGCTGAAAATGATGTTTCATGGCTTTGTGCCTTAAAGTGAAGGTTCATTGATGATGATCACCTCCACAAATAATACAAGCCTGAAGGAATTATGTCGTATTGTGGAGTTGCTAATGCTAACGGTTAGCATCTCCTTGCTGGGACGTTCTTTGCCATCTCCTGGACGTTTCCATGGTCACAAGCCAAGATGGGTGAGGCCACGAATGCTACTTTACGGTGTGATGTAGATCTGGGTAACAATTTCTGACCTGATCGTTTCCCCGTCTATCTTCTTCTGGCGGCTAGTGCAGAAAATAGGTGTAGAAGACTATTTTCCTGTTCAGGCTGCATGTGACCGATTGTATTTTATGCTTTTCAGTGAACGTTCACTTTAAGGCACAAAGTCATGAAACATAATTTTTAGGCATTGCTTATTTTTTGCCCACTTTGCCCACAAGTCCCCAAAATGTTCTCACCTGGTCGCCCCAGGGGTCCTGGATCTCCTGGTAAACCCAGCCCGAGCTGCCCTCGTTCTCCCTTCGGACCTCTGTATCCTGTGGACACACAGACACATATTCCTCTGAAGAAAAATGGAAAAAACAAGTATGTAGACATGTTCACCAAGCCTACAGTACAGTTAGTGACAGAGATCAACCGATATGGGGTTTTCTATTGCCTATACTGATCCCGATACGTGGAGGACATTGTCAGCCAATGGTCAACATGTGCTACCAATTTTTGGGATGACTTTAATGGGCAATATTTAAAGCTTCCTTCTCTGGCTGCTAAAGTGTAACACTAATAATAACAGTAGATGTGCAGCATTTCTGAACCTGAATCAGTTTGTGAACACTGAATTTAACCAATGGTTGAATCCAAATTTTGTGCTAAATCAAACATTTAACCAAAGTTTATCAAACAAATTAATAAACTGACTTAGTATTAATTAACATTTAAATAAAAATAAATTTCAGTTGACAACAATGTTTTAAAGCTTTTAAAAGCAGAAATGTAAATATCTATTTAAATAAATTTCAGCAGCAGCACGGGGCCTCCCACACTCTTGCCTGAATTTAAATGGGCTCTACTAATGAAATGTATCGGCTGGCTGATAAATCGGTTGATCCCTTGTTAGTAAGATTAGAATAAATGCATATTAGAAGTGTCAAGACAGGCAAACACATTTAGTGACAACAGTTTGTTGAAGTATGACTACAGGGACAACCATGTCAGACACCAGCTTTTGCACCTGTTTTATTTGAGCGAGGCAGCTTTAGTGGGTGCTGTTGACACCGACTCTGAGTCCCAAGTTTCAGTCCAAACTCTTTAAATAATATAAGATGTGCTGACATCCTGCCAAAACCAAAATCCTCAAACAGGCCATCTGTATGTTAGACTTTGAAAGAGAGTATTACGTCACGGACAACAACAGGATCACAAGAATGCGTCCTTGAAGACTTCAGAGCAGACTGAAGAGGTTTTTTTTATTTTCTCCCAACCAGAGGTCAGGTGTCTGAGTCACTGCAGGTGCTCAGACGGTAGAAACAGGCAGACTGTGTGATAAAACAGCTCCGTAGCTATACTAGACTCTGATGCTCGTTTAAAATTTATGCTCGTGCACGTCTCGTCTATGATGCAAACGCAGTTGCTTCTAAGGAAAGAAATCAAGTAATGATCACAAGCACATGTTTAATCTGTTAAAAAATGAATCAAAGCATGTGCAAAAATCCGCACAACAGACCAGATAACGACAACAACGAGCACACGGTCACCCCTCAGAGGCTTTTTCACAGCATGCAAAGCTGGTAAGTCTCCACAGCTCAGAACATCAGCATACCAAGTAATACAACACTATTTCCCCATGAGGCGTTTAAAGTAATGGAGTCTCTCAACCAGCAGTTGCAAGGAGTGCATCAGAAACATTGACAGGAGTATCAAGCATGGCTCCGCCTGGCCCAAAGGGGGAAACGCTTCAGCGCTTACATGTCAGGGAAAATCTCAGAAGAAAGGATTACGAATGCTCCAAAAATGAATCTCAAAGAAAGAGGGGCTATCCACACACTGCCACAATAATGAGACTTCTTTCAACACTCACAGAGCCTGGGGCATTCATTCAGGGAGGAGACGTTCCATGGAGAAAAGTGCACTGTACCTTAAGGAAGATATGAAAAAAAAAAAAGGAATAACAATAACCGAACAGCACACAAAGCAATAAGCTAGGGTTGCACACTGGATTGGTGCACCCTGATAAAATCGAAAATGTCACTGTGCACTTGTTAGAAAACAAATCTTTTCCAGGGCCGCTAATTGCCAAAGTACGTTAACAAGAGGAAAAATAAAACAAAAATACTGCCAAGAAGAGTGTCAGTGGTTTCAGTCTTGACCGAGAGGTTTGCAGCCCTTACACAGCTGTAAACATTATTGACAGCCGCAGCCATGTATTCACCGCCTTACAAAAGAAAAATAAATACAAACAACTTCCTTTGAGCAGCTGCTCCATCAAATACACGGCGATATTTACAGACATCCATAATGTTCAAAATGGAAACGGCTCAAAAACAGAATTTATAGACTCTTGAATGAAATAACAGCGTGTTTCAGTCAGGGTTAATGAACACAAAGAAGTCAGGGGCTTCGAAAAAAAAAGTGTTGAAATAAAGAGAAATGTAGCCTTAATGAAATATGAATTTAAACACAATGATTTACGCTGGAGAGATTTTTCGTTGGGATCTAAATGATAAAAGATAAATATAATGATAAAAGAGCAGTAAATTACAACAAAGGATGCTGCTCTTCAGCGTGTCCCTGTAGGCATGCTCTAACAGCTGGAGACTTCCTCACTCGTGGAATCAAACCACGAAGAGAGACAGCAAAAATAAATAAAATAAAATAAAAAAATAAGACAATGAATTCAACAGAGGGGTTGTTTTTCTCCATAAACAATTCATTTTGTCACAATAGAGAAGAAGTCAAATTGGATATTCCAGAGGAGAACAATCTCCAGCGGATGATGACGAGAAATAATGAGGAAATATTACCCCAAACTCCCTCACCAGCTGAGTGGAGTCACAAGTCAACAAAGGAAAAAAAATATTTTTGCAAGTTGTTGAACTCTTAATTTATCAAGGGAAATAACTTTTCTCTTCATTTTCAATAAATATTTATTGCAAAGCTGCATTATAAACGACCTATAAAACACTCTTTTGAAGCATAAAAACCATTAAAACAAAACACAAAATCCAATACACGTGTAATGCTAGTGGCATCAGCACAGCACAAATATATAGAGCAGAGTAGTTGCTTACTTTAGATACATTATTCACGGACGAAAGCAGCATTTTGAAACTGTAGCCGTGTTTCCACTATCGGAGTTCCGGAAAATTTTTGGGAGGGAGAAGAATGACCAGGATATTTGACGGCCCGGCCTATGGACGTTAATAACATTAAAACTTTTACTGTGTCAGATTAAGCTGTAATTTAATCCATTCAGCTGACAGGGAGAGCTGCACTGTGATGTAAAAAGCAACAGTCAATGAATCGAAGAAGCGCCGTTGTTAATGACGTTTTGTGAGACCAGAAAGCTCCATAAATTACAGCGTTGGGAGGGGATTTCTGTCTCAGTTGTCTGTGTTACCCCGGCTTTTACTTGATGTGTATGCAGTGTATAACGTACACAGAGGGCATTTTAAGCGTGAAATGACTGAGGTAGCATCCATGAGGTCACAAAATCACCGGAGCTTTGCAGGACCACATGTGACATCGGCAATTTGCGTGACAACAAAGACAACAATGACAGTAAGTATCCAAAAAGGTCTGTGGTTTATTTTTTGATATGCTTATCTCGGCTACGGAGGTTTCACAGGTAATGATGACATACTTTTGTTTTTACCCGTTTACGCTACTGGAAATCTGTATGAGACTGTTACTTGGAAAGTTTCTAAATGATTTTTTGTGTTTGACTTCCTGTCTCTTCCGATCTAAACGGCTTAGCTTGACACGTTCTCGAAGCACAGTGTGTAAAAAAAAATACACTCAAAGCGTAAGCAACACGTATCTATACTTTTGGGATGCTTTGCAGTCAGTGGGAACGCACCCATCTACGATAACGGTTGCTAATTGCTGTGTACGTTTCACTAGGTTTCACGGACTCTACGCAATGTTTACATGTCTGGTGGAAAAGCCCGGTTACAAGAGTTTTAAAGCAAAATTCTCATCCATCCATCCATCCATTTTCATCAGCTTACCCAGAGTCGGGTAGCGGGAGCAGTCACGAGCAGGAGCCTAAGTCACGCCCATCTACGTCCGGCTCATGGGTTCCCGGAAGAACAAAAAATGAATGGTCAATGTGGCTAAAAATGCTATTTTCCAATCCCGCCCGTGAATTTTAAAGACGCATTTTGATACAAAAAATGCTCGTACTTTTGAACGGGGGGAACATTATTTTAGGTTTTGTGTGAAAATAAGTCCAGGACTACAAGTGCGCTTCACGAAAGTGACGTCATCTAACAAGACATGGAGGAAAACAGAGGGCAAATGGCTGTAAGTTTAGCAAACTTGAAATCCTTCCTTCAGGAGGAAAGAACCACCATCAGTCTGGCCATTTGGTAAGCAGCAGCTACGCTAGGGGAGAGGAGATTCTATGGTGATGTCACATATGCAACGTGCTGTTGTCTGATTTATAGTCATGCTAATTACAAACTTTTACAAGCTAATAATTCTCAAGTATCTGACAGGTGTGGTTGAAACATCCATCATTACTTTTCATTTAAATTGCAGTACAACAGATGTGCGAAGCAGATTAGAAAATAGCGTTTTTAGCCTCATTGATTTGCTTGAATTTTTTCCTTCTTCTGGGGACCGATGAGCCGACTGGAAAGGGAGGAGACTTATGCTCCCTATGTCATTTCCCTCTGAGTTACAACCAATCAGCGTGAGTTAACCACACATCCCGCCCAGCAACTACCTGGCCATTCAGAGTAGTTAAGTTTAGTTCATTTATTTATAAAGTACTTTCCACACTCTTATCAGCAGACCAAGCTGAACACAACCACAAAACACACGATAAGACAAAATATAGTGTCATGGAACATTAAAAGAAAGAAAAAAAAATCATAAGACCCCAGAGAACAAACCCCAGTTCAGGTACTCCGTTGGTTTCTAAAATGGCCAGGTGTATTGGAGACAAGTCAGGTAAAATTAGCCGGAAGTTCTGATAGTGGATTTGGGACTTTTAGCAGTGAGTTAAAATGTAAATGGTCATGAATGACATGAGGTAGATACAAAGCTCAAAGAGGAAGATTGATACATTGGTGCTTTGATTTGCACCAATGCATGCAAACACCCCTCTTCAAAGGTTAAGATTAGATATTTCTGCTGAGATACAAAGCCTGACCAGCAAACCATTAGTGATGTGAGAGCAGTCAGAGAGTAGTATCAGTCTGATAAAGAATGTCCACCCGCCTTCCTGACTATGCTCCTTTTTGTATGTTAGAGGCTTTCTCTCCCGGAGTGAGGTATCAATAACGGAGCTCTTTTCCTGTCCACACTGATAACACTTTCTCTTATTCACAGCCAATTCTTCATTTGTCTTCATATTTCCCAGAGAGCTGCTGTGCACCACACTCCTGGCCTTTTCCTCTGCTTCCCGCCCCTCAGTCTGCATTGATCTATGGGTCTATGCAAGAGAAAAACACCCATGAATCCATACAAAATACAACCGACAGCCCAACCCCTCGCTAAAGGGGAAGTTCAGATCTTTGAAGTGGGCTCCTGGTGTGAATGTCTCTTTGAATGACCTCAGTTTGGAGATACAAGAATTTAGACCAAATGTGACTTTTCTTTTTTGCTGAATATTGCAGCCATAATATCCTGATTAAAGGCACTGTCATGTTGTGTTATTGAAACTAATTTCAACGAAACTATTTTATATATAGTCAATGGTTCTGGCCTGACTGACATGCTAATGGCTAGTTAGAGCAGGCCTGATTCCTAACAGATTCACATTCATCTAATGTCACAAACATCAAAGCAGTCCTATTATAATTACATTTTTATAACCTGTAAAGTCATGAAGATTATATCAAATTGTCTTTCTCAAAGAAATACGTTTTTGTTTTGGTTGTTTTTTTTTAGGCAGGAATTAGAATAATGGTAACGAAATGCTTATTTGTAAAACATATGAAGCCGTGTTAATGGACCACAAAATACTTCCAATGAAAAGGGTTCTTTAGTCTCAAATAAATAAATAAATAAACTGTTCATAGATTGGCATAAAACAAAAACTATGCACAAAAAACAGTGAAACAAATGGTACACAAAAGGGCAGTGGCACTTTCGAGATTCTCGAATATTTATTAGTGTGGCTTACAACATTCCCAATCAGTCTCAGCTCAAATGTCCTCCTCTGTCTTCTTTTTTCCCAAATAAAAAGTGTGCAACAGCACTGGAACGAGGCTTTGTCTTCTTCTGCTGGAATGTTCTACCTCTAAACCCAGGACTAGCACCACTCTCTGGCCCAAACCCATATTAAAACAAATAAATGAATTAAAAGCATCCGGGATCTAAAATAAACATTTCTTGTTTTTAACCCCCACCCCCACCCCCTCACCCCCCCACCCCACTCCCCACCCCCCACCCCTTCCCACCTAATTACACATCATTTGTAAGATAAACTGTGACTTTATTTAGATTAAAGTTGCCTACTATTTTGTTAGCCCTGCTGTGTCTAACCATAAACGTATCCATCCACCCATCCATCCCCTTTCGGCTGCTTATCCGGTGTCGGGTCGCGGGGACAGTAGACTAAGCAGGGAGGCAAAGACTTCCCTTTCCCCAGCCACTTGGGCCAGCTCCTCCGGGGGGATCCATGAACTCATCTTTCTGGTCAAAGTTATTCTCTACATTACCAAACTGAGGTTGTTCAATATGCAGCTCATACTCTTTTTATATAAACCCATTTAAAAGATGTGAACTTTACCTTTAAGTCAGTCTCTTGTATTTCAAACCAAATGAAGAGTTCATTTGCAAAACCGAGTAACACCGGTTTAATACGTTTTCTAAAATTGCATCTCTGTGTTATTTACTCCAGGTGGCATCAGTCAAAATAAAGTTTGAAGAATTTGATCAAAATGTTTTTTTTTATCTGTTTTTAGAAATGAACTCTTCAAACATTTTACAACAAAAGCATGTTTGGGTGAGTGGTTGTCCTTAGATAAAATCCTATCATTTAAAAGCATCCACCTATAGGCATAAAAAATATGAACAGTTAATGGCAAATGGTTAACTTAGTTCACATGCAGTTAAATTACATGAGCGGCATTTAGTTAAAGTGCTTTATTGATTAAAGTGTTTATTTCAAGCAGCCTTTCAGCTTTCAGTCCTGAGCTCCTACCTTGTGGACCAGGTGGTCCAGGCTCTCCTGGAGGACCTGGTGATCCATCTTTGCCAGGGGGTCCCGGAGGCCCTTGGATCTGTGGAGCTAAGATGCCGGCAGGTGTCTTCTGCAGCTTGCCAGAGCTGGATTCTTTCTCTGCAAGGCAAGAAAACGAGGTAAACATTTTATTTCGAGGCATTTTAAAGGGGACAAAGAGTACAAAACATAAAACACATCAGTCAAGAGAAATGTCAAACAATTTGTACCTTTAAAGATTTTTGTGACTTCGTTTTGGATAAACAGTCTGAGTTCTTGTGTAAAGCTGGGATCGTCCTGTGTACAGGAGAATAAAAGAGTACGTACTCATGCTTTTATTCACAAAATGAAAGAAAATCCAATTAAGAGACACATTTAGAGGACATCAAGTGAAGATTACAGCTAGCACAGCATGGGAATTGACTGGATACATTTCATACACCTGAAAGTCCGTCCATAGACACTCCTGAAACCAAACACGTCAAAACAAAAGCAGGAGGCAGAATATTCCACCCGATAAATTCTCTCTCTTTCTTTTAAAGGATCTTTTCTCAGCTCCACTCACCAAACCTCAGCAAGAAAAAAACAAAAACGGATTCAATGCTAAATGTTAAATTTAATAGCACGACTTTTTAAAGCCGCTTCATTTCATTTTCACTCCTGCAGTGATGCACTGGCCAATTAAAAGCAAAAGCTGAAGTTCTCTAAGCCTAAAAAACATGACAGAACATATCAAAGATGCATACATCAGATACAGGAGATTACTCAGAAAAACTTGGCTTTTTTCTTCAACGTACTGCAGTTACAGTTACATAACAGATGTGGGGCTTACAGGGTAAACGTTTACCGTAAATCCTCTAATACAGGCCCGGGCCTGTATTTGACTCAAGCTCATCAAGCTCCAGGCCTTTATTGGAAGGAGGATCAGAATTAGAGGCAGGCCTCAGTTTCTATTTGAGCAAAATGAACTAATGGTTCGCTGGAGTTTTTGACAATTAAAATTGCGCCCACATTTTCAAAGTTAAACACATTTCTTTTAACAACAGTAGTTTCTGCTTCAGCCCTCTCCCCCCTCCCCCTGCGCAGCGGCCGCAAACTCACTGATGCGCCTGCAGCCTCTCGGAGTTCCTGCTGCTCTAAACATTAAAATAATTATTTCATTTTCTGTTCCTCACTTCTGATTACCTTCAGTGGTGTCTGTTTGTTGCAACCACCAGGTACAAAAACTAACTTGTTTTTATTTGACTATTTTTCTGTCCTGTCTGTTTATTATCTTCCTGCATCTCCTCTCAATCCTAAAGAGAAACTGCTACCTGGGTTTATATATATTCACCTTATGAGTTACCTTTGAACTGCAGTTCTAAAAGATCTACCGACCGCAAAAACAGCGGAGTGCTCGCCGGCCACATCAGTGATCGGTGCGTCGGATGACAAGTTGATGCGCCCCGCTCCACAGCGAAACACATCAGGCGCAAATAAAAGACAGAAAACATTAAAGGAAATGAACCGACATGAACGATCGCATGTTAAATTAGTTTTTGAGGTGGCGACACCTGATTTGATAATGTTACTGTGGCCGTGCTCAGGACGCAGATCCACCGACCGCAAAAACAGCGGAGTGCTCCGTGCTTGGCGGCTGCATCAGTGATCGGTGCGTCACCGGAGGACAAGGTGATGCGCCCCGCTCCACAGCAGCGAAACACATCAGGCGCAAATAAAAGACAGAAAACATTAAAGGAAATGAACCGACATGAACGATCGCGTGTCAGTACCGACGCTCTGGCACAGCGCGTTGCCCCTCCGAGCGCAGGAGCTTGTCACCTGCTGACAGCAGGCTGCTGTCTTTTCCAAGGGCTGCATCTTGCCGGTCATTATCACGTGACAGCGACTAGTCGACGACAGGCATAACAAGTCACTATAGTGAAGTTGACTAGTTCATACACCCCCTATTGCTCCCCAGTGTTCTGCAGCATAATCAGCACGCTCTCTTTGAACTTGATATCAAATTTTCGCCTCCTCTTCGTCTCCGCATGGTTAAAGTTACCCTCGCGGTCTATCACTGGCAAATCAAAAGTGAGACGATGACACAACCGCGCCCCCTGTGGTACTTGCTTGTTACCACATTCCACCCGGCCACAATAAGAGACTGGCCATTATTCACCTCCGCCGACTCCGACACCGGCCACAATATGAGACCCGGCCGTTAATTGAATACAGGCCTGTATTAGAGGATTTACGGTATCTTTAATTTAAATATTTTCACCTCCAAACTGAAGGAAAAGTTTAGATACAGCAGCTCTTTTCCCCTCAGGGGCGAGTAGTATAACTAAAAGAGTAAATTGTTATTGTTTTGTTCAGAATCGATCATATGCAGTCACTGTTTGAAGTCTAAAACCTCTGAATGTTTCCGTAAGAGGTTTTCCTCCATTATGATGCACTGCTCGTGTCTTTAGTTTCATCTTTACCTCATAAATCAACAACTGTTCCAGGTCTGATTCTCATTCTTTCCTTTTCCGATTGTGCAGCCTTTCAGATCTTTTTTTTTTTATGTTGCCCGCTGGATTCATTTTTCCTTAGAATAAGACAGAGTTTAAATTTGACAATCCCCAGTCTCCCAGCTATTTTCCAGATGGATTTGTTTTGGTCTTGAAGACTAATGATGCAGTTTAAAGTTCACTCAGAGCTCCTTTGGCCGCGTTTTAGATTTACAGCAACAGATGGCCAACATTGATGCCATGTTTAGGATCAAGCCCAGTTTTACCTTCAAGTTGAAGACAAAATAATAGATGCAGTTGTTTAAATGTAAAAGACAATGTTAATAGTAGAATAAACTGGCACTTTTTATTTATCTCTCAAAGTTGACTCTGTTCAACATTTTTAGTCATGCAGCTCAAGGCCATGTTCAAGCTGCATGTCTGCAGACGTGAGTGCTCAGACCACGAGTGCTCTGGCAGCTCTCGTCAATGGGAGAAAAAAAATCTATGATTTGTTCAATACATCAGTGCATTTAACAGATTCTTTGCTGGGAAAGTGGTTAAATCGCCATCAATAAAGGCAGGTTGTAAGCAGGCCTGCAGCTCATTCTGAAGACTTTAAAAACAGGCTTAAAAAAGAGGCATTAAGTGTACCCCGCATGTAGCTATCTAATGCACAGACACACATTTTGACAAAAGTAAGAAACTTTGTGAAGAAATATAAAATAAACTTTTGTTAAAGCTCTTGAAATGATAGTTTTACATATTAAATCTCTAACTCTTAAACCCTCATGTTAGTTTAAACGTAGTAAATTATAAGTCAAGTCTGCACTAAATGACATCCCGTACCTTTATCCATCACATAATTGCATGACTCCTTTACAATGTTCATTATGTCCTCTTTTAAATCATTAAACGAGGTTCTTTTCACTTCAGACATGAAGGTGTTTCGAGTTACCTTTACATGTTTCGACCGTCGTCTGCAGTCTTCATCAGAAATGTCACAGATGTTTGTGTGACGCGTCTATCAGCTGTTCTTCTGGTGGGCGCGACCAACCCGGATCTGTCAGATCTGTCGCCCACCAGAAGAACAGCTGATAGACGCGTCACACAAACATCTGTGACATTTCTGATGAAGACTGCAGACGACGGTCGAAACATGTAAAGGTAACTCGAAACACCTTCATGTCCGAAGCGAAAAGAACCTTGTTTAATGATTGCATGGCTGTTAATAATAGGCTGCCTTTTCTCATTGATTATGTGCATGACCTGCATGGACAGGATTTCTACACTGCAAAAACCGATGAAGTAAAAAAGCCTTGCTTTTAGACATTTCATCTTTATTTTTGTCTAAAAAGAAATAAACAAATCTAATCAGCAGAATCAGCACTACTTAAGGTAAACTTTCTCAAATTATTTTCAGGGAAATAATAAATGTGCCAAGAATTCTTCCCAATGAACTTTGGTTTACCCTATTGGCAGAGTTGTTTACTCAAAACAAGAAAATGTGTCCATATTTAATCATTTTTACATTATTTCAAGTGTTTTGCAGATAAGAAAATATTTTATGCTTAAAATAAAATAAAATTTCTAGAAGCAAGGTTGTTTCACTTTCCTGAAAATCTGTTTTTGAAATGTAGTGCAACCAAGAGGCTGAGATGATCTGTTTTGGTGGCCTGAGGATCGGGTTTCTGCTTTTTGCAGATGATGCGGCCCTGCTGGCTTCATCAGACAGTGATCTCCAGCTTTTGCTGGAGTGGTTTGCAGTCAAGTGTGAAGCAGCTGGGATGAAGACCTGCATCTCCAAATCCAAGACCTTGGTCTTGAGTCAAAAAAGTGTAGAATTCCTTTTCCAGCTCAGGGACGAGGTCCTGCCTCAAGGGGAGGAGTTCAAGTATCTCGGAGTATTGTTCACAAGTGAGGAAAAGCCTGAAATCGATAGTCGGATTGCTGCTGCATCTGCAGTGATGCAGGCGTTGTACCGGTCTGTTGTGGTGAAGAGAGAGCTGAGTCTGAAGATGAAGTTCTCCGTTTACTGGTTGATCTACGTTCCTACCCTCACCTATGGTCACAAGCTTTGGGTAGTGGCCAAAAGAATGAGAACGGGGATAAAAGCAGCCGAATTGAGTTTTCTCTGCAGGGTGGCTGGGCTCTCCCTTAGACATAGGCTGAGAAGCTCGGCCATCCGGGAGGGGCTCAGAGCTGATCTGCTGCTCCTCTACATCGAGAGGAGCCCATTGAGGTGGCCCGGGCATCTGATTAGGATGCCTCCTGGACCTCCTCATCTGGGTTTTCTGGGCACGTCCGACTAGGAGGAGACCTAAAGAAAGTCCCAGGACACGCTGGAGGGACAATATTCCTCAGCTGGCCAGGGAACACCTTTTATGCCGCCCATCGAAGCATGCGAGGACTCCAGTTCTTTTTCCAGATGGCGTTCTTTATTTGTGCTGTTATTGACTAGCAAAGCTAGCATCATGCAGCACCATAAACCACCGTAGAACTACAAACCGACAGAATAAACAATATGTTTACATAAATATAACACATAAACCACAAATAAAGGTTACAAAGTCTACTAACCACTTTGCCTTCTTGTAGCCTTGAATGGGAGGGGAGAAAACAAGTTTTGCTTGCTGTTAGTCTCTTATATTAATCTGAACGTATTCAGCATATATCAGCTTCCTTTCATACGTTACAAAAAAAACGAGTGCACACGTTAAGCTAACCGGAAGTTGTCGAGAAAGGCAAGTGTGCCTTTCAAAATAAGAGCACGAGCTCCGGTTTCATCAAAAATAAAAAGAAGCATTTTACAATGATGCATTCACAGCATTCACACCTTTGAATCCCCCAGAGGAGCTTGTCCAAGTGGCTGGGCAGAGGGAAGTCTGGGATTTGCTTAGGTTACTGCCCCATGACCCGGCCCTGAATAAGTGGAGGAAATTGGGTGGATGGGTGACAGTAAATGTAGTAAATGACTCAAAAAATATTCTTGAGGTATGACGTTTTTGTACTTAACTGAATAAAGTACACGTCCCTCCACTCAAAAGACTCTGAATCTCAAAACACGTTCCACAGCAGCCATGAGAACATTTCTCAAGAACAGTGCTTTCTAGGGCTGCACCACAAGCAGTGGAACAATAGTAGGTTTGAAATTGCTGCATTCAAAACAGCTTCCATCTCTGTGAACGTTATATAACTGCAGTAAGTGTAAAATGTCTGTGACAGATGGAGGTGTTTTCTATGCTTTGCAGAGCTTTTGGCACGCCCACGTATCTCTGTCTTTCCCTCTGTTTCCGTCTCTCCTCTCTCTGACCTTCTGTTACGCCTGGATGATCAGGAGTGGGAAGCGTTGAGCAGAAAGTGAACAGCGAGCTCCCTCGCACGGCTTTGTTTGATGTTCAATGCAGAAAGCTGTAGATACACCATTTTCCATACAGGCAGTGGGAACTGAACAAGTTACACAGGCTGGCAGTGAGCACGCTGGATGGTTAAGACTTTAATCATCTTCAAGCAATGTCAGTTTTATGTTGAGGTATGTTCAGCATCCATGCTTACCAGGAGTGTATTACTGCCAAACTGTCCAGGAGGTCCAGGGTCGCCCTTTTCACCCTGTGGTCCAATCGGTCCAACCGGGCCAGGATCTCCTATGCGACCCCTCTCGCCTTGAAGACCTCGTATACCGGGAATCCCTGGATCACCCTGTTTTTAAAGGGAACAATATGCAAAATTGACATCTTTTTGTGCTGCCATGTGGGTCTCTACTGCCTCTATAAACACTCCAAATAAGATATATATCCATCTGTATTCTGTGAATGGTTGGTTTAAAAAATTAGGTGCCTAAAACATGCAGTTTCATTAAGTCCCCTATTGTGATGTCACAAACTGGAAAAGTAACAAAATCACCTCTAACGTGCAAGAGAGAGCTGTTGCTAGAGCCCTTTCTGAATATCGGAGCTTCTCAGCTCATAGCAGCCTAAGCGGGGATGAGTGGGTGTGGCCAGCTCCATTTTTTTTGTCTTAAAGTGATCCTGAAACAGCAAATTTTGAAAGGATCATTTAAAGACATCCTTCACTCATTTTTGATACATTTGCAGTGTTTTCTAGTAGGAATGAATGCCCTTGTAAGTCGACAGATAGCAGGATTTGGAGTCTTATTTCCTGACATTTGGACAACTCGCTTCTGATTGGCTAACAGCAACGTGGCTATAGCACTGATTTTGTTTGCTTTGCAACACTGATGTTTTATCTGCATAAATACCACAGACCTGAAGGAGTTGCTGAGATGTCTGAATTTCAGAAAAAAAGACTCCAAATCTGACTCTGGCTCACTTCTAGTGCCTGAAATAGGAGACCCAGAATTTTTCCCCCACAAGGACCGCCCCATGAAGCATTCAATTTTAAAAAATTAGTGAACTCGGTCCTAGGTGAGGGATCAGACAAAGAGCAGCCCAAAGACCTCTTATGATGAATTATATAAATGGAAACTGTGTTCCCTCACCCAGACGTGGGTCACCGGGGCCCCCCTCTGGGGCCAGACCTGGAGGTGGGGCACGTTGGCGAGCGCCTGGTGGTCGGGCTTTTACCCAAGGATCCCGGCCGGGCACAGCCCGAAGAGGAAATGTGGGTCCCCCTTCCCATGGGCTCACTACTCGTGGGAGGGGCCAAAGGGGTCGGGTCAAGTGTGTGACGGGTGGTAGTCAAGGGCGGGGACCTTGGCGGTCTGATCCTTGGCTACAGAAGCTGGCTCTTGGCACATGGAATGTCACCTCTCTGATGGGGAAGGACCCTGAGTTGGTGTATGAGGTTGAGAGGTTCCGACTAGATATAGTCGGACTCACCTCAACTCATGGCACTGGCTCTGGAACCAATTTCCTTGAGAGGGGTTGGACTTTCTACCACTCTGGAGTTGCTCCCACTGAGAGGCGCTGAGCAGGGGTGGGCATACTAGTTGCCCCCATCTTGGTGCCTGTATGTTGGGGTTTACCCCAGTGAATGAGAGGGTAGCCTCCCTCTGCCTACGTGTGGGGGATGGGTTCTGACTGTGGTCTGTGCTTATGCACCAAACTACAGTTCAGACTACCCACCCTTTTTGGAGACCTTGGAGGGGGTGCTGGAAAGTGCTCCTTCCGGTGACTCCCTCGTTCTGCTGGGGGACTTTAACGCTCACGTGGACAATGACAGTGAGACCTGGAGAGGTGTGGTTTGGAGGAACGGCCCCCCTGATCTGAATTTGAGTGGTGTTTTGTTATTGGACTTCTGTGCCAGTCATGGATTGTCAATAATGAACACCATGTTCAGACATAAAGGTGTCCTCATGTGCTCTTGGTACCAAGATACCTTAGACCGCAGCTCGATGATCGACTTTGTTGTTGTTTTGTCTGACCTGCGGCCGCATGTCTTGGACACTCGGGTGAAGAGAGGGGTGGAGCTGTCAACTGACCACTACCTGGTGGTGAGTTGGCTCAGATGGTGGGGGAGGATGCCGGTCAGACCAGGCAGGCCCAAACGTATTGCGAGGGTCTGCTGGAAACGTCTGGCAGTCTCCTGTCAGAAGGAGGTTCAATTCCCACCTCTGACAGAACTTCCAAAATGTTCCGGGGGAGGTGGGGGACATTGAGTCTGAATGGACCCTGTTCCGTGCCTCTATTGTTGAGGTGGCTGACAGGATCTGTGGTCGCAGGATCGTCGGTGCCTGTCATGGTGGCAAACCCTGAACCCGCTGGTGGACACCCGTGGTTAGGGATGTTGTCAAGCTGAAGAAAGAGTCCTATACAGTCTTTTTGGCCTGTGGGACTCCAGAGGCAGCTGACGGGTACCGGCAGTCCAAGCGGAACACGGCTCGGGTGGTCGCCAAGGCAAAAACCCGGGCATGGGAGGAGTTTGGTGAGACCATGAAGTCTTCGAGGAGATTCCGGTCCACCATCCGGCGCCTCGGGGGGGTGGGGGGGTGGGGGTGGGGGGTGGTGGGGGGGGGGGGGGGGGGGGGGGATGAGCAGTGCGCTACCAACACTATCTATAGTGGGGACGGTGTGCTGCTGACCTCTACTCAGGACGTTGTGGATCGGCGGGCAGAATACCTCGAAGACCTCCTCAATCCCACCGACATGTCTTCCAGTGAGGAAGCAGAGTCTGGGGACTTTAGGTTGGCCTCTCAAATCTCTGGCGCTGAGGTCACTGAGGTGGTTAAAAAGCTCCTCTGTGGCAAGGCTCCAGGGTGGATGAGATCTGCCTGGAGTTCCTTAAGGCTCTGGATGTTGTGGGGCTGTTTTGGCTGACGCGGCTCTGCAATATCGTGTGGACATCGGGGGCAGTCCCACTGGACTGGCAGACCAGGGTGGTGGTCCCCTTATTTAAAAAGGGGGGCTCCAGGGTGTGTTCCAACTACAGGGGGATCACACCCCTGAGCCTTCCTGGTAAGGTATATTCAGGGGTTCTGGAGAGGAGGGTCCGTCAGATTGTTGAACCTCAGATTCAGGAGGAGCAATGTGGTTTTTGTCCTGGCCGTGGAACACTGGACCAGCTCAATACCCTTAGGGGGATCCTGGAGGGTGTGTGGGAATTTTCCCAACCAGTCTACATGTGTTTTGCGGATTTGGAGAAGGCGTTTGACCGCGTCCCTCGGGGGGCCCTGTGGGGGGTACTCCGGGAGTATGGGGTACCAGGCCCTCTGATACGGGCTGTTTGGTCCCTGTATGACCGGTGTCAGAGCTTGGTCCGCATTGGACTCCGCCAAGGCTTCCCTTTGTCACTGATTCTGTTCATAACCTTTATGGACAGGACTTCTAGGCGCAGCCAAGGTGTGGAGGGCATCCCCTTTGGTGGCCTGAGGATCAGGTCTCTGCGTTTTGTAGATGATGTGGTCCTGTTGGCTTCATCAGAACATGATCTTCAGCTTTCGCTGGAGCGTTTCGCAGCTGAGTGTGAAGCAGCTGGGATGAGTATCAGCTACTCTGAATCGGAGACCATGGTGATGATTCGGAAAAGGGTAGAATGCCTTCTCCGGGTCAGGGATGAGGTCCTGCCCCAAGTGGAGGAGTTTAAGTATCTCAGGGTCTTGTTCATGAGTGAGGGAAAACTGGAGCGTGAGATCGATAGGTGGATTGGTGCTGCGTCTGCAGTGATGCGGGCGTTGTACTGGTCTGTTGTGGTGAAGAAAGAGCTGAGTCAGAAGGCAAAGCTCTCGATTTACCGGTCGATCTACGTTCCTACCCTCGCCTATGGTCATGAGCTTTGGGTAGTGACCGAAAGAACAAGATTGCGGATACAAGCGGCCGAAATGAGTTTTCTCCGAAGAGTGGCTGGGCTCTCCTTTAGAGATAGGGAGAGAAGCTCGGTCATTCGGGAGGGGCTTGGAGTAGACCCGCTGCTCCTCCACATCAAGAGGAGCCAGTTGAGGTGGCTCAGGCATCTGGTCAGGATGCCTTCTGGACGCCTCCCTGGTGAGGTTTTCCGGGCACGTCCACCCGGAAGGAGGCCTAAAGGTAGACCCAGGACACAGTGGAGGGACTATGTCTTTCACCTGGCCAGGGAATGCCTTGGGATTCCCCCGGAGGAGCTGGCCCAAGTGCCTGGGGAGAGGGAAGTCTGGGCCTCTTACCTTCAGCTACTGCCCCCGCGACCCGACTCTAGACAAGCGGATGAAAATGGATGGATGGATGGATAGTGAACTCGGTCTTTAAAGAACCTTATCTCAGTTTTCTTTAGTTTGTGTGCAAATGTTACCATGCAAAAACCAAATCGCTTTTTCGGCCATAAAAAGTCGGGCTTAAGTACTTTACACAGTAACATGTTCTTCTGAAGAGTTTTTTTTTTCTTGCTTCTGTTGCCACATTTGCAACAGCACAAGTGTGACAGAGCCTTTTGCAAATACAACAAAATAACTGCAAAAGGCGTGAAATGTTTATTTTAATAAATGTGCTTGTGGGGATTAGTAATATTTATGAGGCAGAAAGAATTTAATTACTAGTCATTACTTTTCATCCGCATGTTCGCTTGTTGGATTGTACAGACAGCTTGTTTTTTGCTACTTACACGCTCTCCTTTGGTTCCGCGATCTCCCGTTCTACCTGAGTCGCCCTGAGGAAAGCGAAAAAGCCAACAAAATATACTTAAAACAAAATAAAGAAGATATTTACACATACAGTAAGATGCTATTTTTCCTCCTGTGTTCATACGAAGCACTGATCAATATTTGATCCAAAAGAATTCGCTCTTATGTCTGCAGACGATTCTGTTGCCTGAAGGGAAACTGTGAGCAAGCGTTTTCTGAATAGCTTGACTTTGAGAAATACATGCTTGTCAGATGACTGTGCATTGATTGTTTCTAACTCAGCTCAGGTGCATTGCTTGTATAATATCTCCCAGTGTAGCACTCCACCTTCTGCAATGTCATGACTCCTCTGCATCACTCCAGTATCTTTTTATTTTTTATTTGACAAAGGCCCCCGCATTCCCACCAGCTGCCTCTACTGTACAGAGAAGCTGCAAGAGAACACCTGTCCTCAGCTCCATGTCACAACACCTCGTGTCTTCCAGTCCCTCCCTGTCACTCCACATTGCTTCCCCTTTCTTCGCTTGCAGCATCACCTCTGGGAGCATCTTTGTATCAATTTCCCACTGGATTACAGGAGCCACATAAAAGACAATCTGGCATGATGTGGCTTTAAAGCGGGCATCGCTTTGTGATGCCATTCTCCCTTGCCTCCCTTAATCTGCAGCATGCTGTATTCCCTACTGCCTGATGGAAAGCTTAAATCTATCATCTTGCCCACTGAAATGAGCTTCCCTGAGCATTACATTAAAGCTCAAAGCAGTGAGCAAAGAATCTATGCAGATGAGGAAAGCAACCTACTAGATGGCACTGTTGCTCCACCAAAACCTCTGTGCACCCAGCCTCAGTGAAAAGCAGAGATTATAGTGGGAGAATATTAAATAATAGGAATGAGCAGACAATAAAGTGTTGGGGCTGTCATTAAGGTGTAAGGTGAAAAACACCTTGTATATCAGTGCAAAACTGTAATAACCACAATCAGTCAGGTTTGGGCGTTGGATCAAATAAAGTGTTGGAAATGTCTACTCAAGCACATGTGTTCTGCATCCTGCAAGACCATTCTATGTTCACCAAGTAAATAGGGTGTAGAACATTTGATCAGTCACCTAAAAGCAGACATTTTTCTTCTGCAGTGTTTGTTTCAGCTTTAGCCAGGTTCACCAAGCGAAACAATGCATAATTAATTTGAAATGTCTACTGCCCTCTATTACCACGTTTTATCATTGTCTGAATGCATTAAATGCATAATTAGGGGAGAAAGACCAAAAATCAACAACGCTTTAAATCTGCAGGATTTCATTTATTTTCTATCGCTAAAATCTCAAATATGCAAATAGGCTTAATGCAGTCAGCGCTGTTGCGTGGGGTGGGGGGTGGGGGGGGGGGATAAAAATCTGCTGTGCCATCTTTCTGTAGCTCGGCCGATGTAAAGCTCTTTCTATAAGGGGATTTGCAACGTGCTCGCACAACTCACCTTGTATCCTGGAGTTCCATCTTTTCCAGGCCTCCCCTGCTCAAAGAGCGCAACACAAACAAAGAAATTTTATCAGCTTCCACCTTTGATTGGATCAGCACTGTTGCACTCTTAGTAATCTCCACACTTAATGAGATATCTCAACCAAGGGAAAATGGTCCTGATTGCTGACTGAACATTGCTCCATAGTGCGCTTATGGGGGAAATTATAGAAAGTATGCCTGATGGTAATTACATAGAGGAATGTAAGAATATAATCATCTACGGGACAAGTGGTCGATAGCGTGCATATTTAATCCAAATTGTCCTTGAATCTGGTGAATCCACCATGAATGTTGCGAAGGTGAATTGGCTCTAGCGCTTAACCAGAGAGTGGGCTCCATATGGAAAACATATGGGTACACACTATTTGTCCTGGGAGGTTTTGTCAGCAAGTTCCATGGTGACCACGCAGGGGTGTGCCCACATAGATTTTAATGGACCCTACATGGACTTTCAAAGGGACCCACTTAAAATCTTTGTGGGCAAACCCCTATGGGTCCACCATGGAAATCAGACACAAAACCTGTTGGACAAATGGGAAAACTTCGCCTGCCAAAAGTAAAGGTAAATGACAAGAATTGCAGTTCCCCAATTGTCCACTAGGGGCTGGCTCCAGAAAGGAACAACTACCCATTGACTCTCATGTTAGAAATGCCAACTTTACAGTAGAAATAAACACTTTTACAGCATGGAACGGAAAACATTTTACATTTAATAGGTCGTTTACAAGAACGACAACTCTCTTTTGTAACTCTTCCATTTAGATGTAATTAAACCTATGAATTATAAACACTCGGAGGCGTGTCCTTTTGATTGACAGGTAGCAGATGAGCTTTCAGCGCTAGTGCTAGCGGTTTGCATCCCTCCTTGCTCCAAGGAAGGCCTCAGCGTTGTCGTCGTCGTCTTCCTCTGCTTATCCGGGTCCGGGGGCAGCATCCCAACCAGGGAACTCCAGACCATCCTCTCCCCGGCCATCTCCACCAGCTCCTCCGGCAGGACCCCAAGGTGTTCCCGGACCAGATTGGAGAGGTAACCTCTCCAACGTGTCCTGGGTTGACCCGGGGGCCTCCTGCCAGCAGGACATGCCCAAAACACCTCCCCGGGGAGGCGTCCAGGAGGCATCCTGACCAGATGCCCAAACCACCTCAAATGACTCCTTTCGATCCGGAGGAGCAGCGCTTCTACTCCAAGTCCCTCCCGAATGTCCAAGCTCCTCACCCTATCTCTAAGGCTGAGCCCGGCCACCCTACGGAGGAAACTCATTTTGGCCGCTTGTATCCGCAATCTCGTTCTTTCGGTCATTACCCAAAGCTCATGACCATAGGTGAGGATTGGGACGTAGATCGACCGGTAAATCGAGAGCCTGGCTTTCTGGCTCAGCTCCCTTTTCACCACGACAGATCGGCTCAACGTCCGCAGCACTGCAGACGCTGAACCAATCCGCCTGTCGATCCCCGACCCCTCCTACCCTCACTCGTGAACAAGACCACGAGACACTTAAACTCCTCCACTTGAGGTAGGACTTTTTCCCCGACCTGGAGTTGGCAAGCCACCCTTTTCCGGTCGAGAACCATGGTCTCAGATTTGAAGGTGCTGATCCTCATCCCAGCCGCTTCACACTCGGCCACGAACCTACCCAGCAAGAGCTGAAGGTCAGAGCTGGATGAAGCTAGGAGGACCACGTCATCCGCAAAAAGGAGAGACGAGATTCTCCTGCCACCAAACTCGACACCCTCCACACCACGGCTGCGCCTAGAAATGTTGTCCATAAAGGTAATGAACAGAACCGGTGACAAAGGCAACCCTGGCGGAGTCCAACCCTCACCGGGAACAGGTCCGACTTACTACCGGCTATGCGGACCAAACTCACGCTCCTGTGGCAAAGGGACTGAATGGCCCTTAACAGAAAGCCACCCACCCCATACTCCTGGAGCGTCCCCCACAGGGTGCCCCTGGGGACACGGTCATAAGCCTTCTCCATATCCACAAGCCTCAAGTTACCTACATTACAGCGTAGATTGCAGAGGGTAGCAGAGTCCCTCAACTGTGGTTTTCTGGCTAAAAGGGTTAGGGTTAGCTTTGGTTAGCTCCAGGTTAGCTCAGTTACCTCGTAGCTCCATTGGCTCAGAAACTGATGGGTGTCAATCATCTGCCCCCACTTTCAGTTCCATTTATGTATTTTCTGGTAGTGATTAGATGTGTTCAATTGAGATCTTTATAAACAAATGGGAGATGGTGTGGAGGGTTTATCTATCTTATATTTACAGCCTTTGGCTGGAAACCATAATGTTTGCCCCTATATATTCCATATGAAGCCGGCTGGGCAATAGATACTGAAAGAGGACAGTATTTGTGTTGCATCCTTACAGGAACACCTTGGGGTCCCTCAGGTCCAGGGAATCCTGTCTCGCCAATCGGCCCCCTCTCACCCTGTCAGAGAACAGAGACAGTCAGCGTGTCGGTCTGCAGTGACAAAGGAATGATGCCAGAACTGACAGTTCAAAGAGAGTCAAAGGCTTTGGCTCACCGGCTCTCCTGGGATCCCTGGCTCTCCGCGAGTGCCGGGCTTCCCCTGCCAATCACAGAGAAGAAGAGTACACACCTTGTATGACAGGTCCTCAATGGTGTCATATCATCAGCACCTCTGCAGATTCACATTTATAATACAGCTCCCATCTGAAGCACAGCCGCACAATAAATCCATCAGTCAGACCAAGTCTACAGAGCTCTCGGCCGGAGTATTGCACAGACATGAGACTTATCGGTGAAGTCTGGTATTCAATACTTAATAAAACATCGCTATGGACTTAAACAATACAGACGAAAGATCAAAGGGAAGTATGACGTAAAGACGTACTTACTGCAGGACCTGGTGTCCCAGAGGGCCCAGGCAAACCAATATCACCCTGACAACATATATCAGACAGACACATTACATAATGAAGACTATAGATCCCGGTCATGCTAGGCAAACACACAGCAGATATTGATTTAGGAAACTGCCTAAGCTTGAGTGTAATGAATGCCACAGGTGACTTAAACAAACGCAAAGGGGAAGGAGAGGAGTAAACACTCTAGGCTGCTCAGGAAAAGGACATATATGTACAATAAACACACTGTTTGCATGAGCCAATCCTCTTAAAGTATGCCCCAAGATGATGAAATCATTTATGTCAAGGAAACTTAAATATTCCAGCAGTCATATACTGACAATCATCCTTATACACACTCAGATGCAGGCGGCTGTGGAGGACTCCATGCAGTGTTGCTCTATAAAGGCTAATGCCTCTGGTGCTGGTAATTCACTGAGCAGATTGTTAGCTATCACGTTAGCGCTTTGGCTCCACGTTGCTGTATATCCTGTTTGGAAATGTCAACGAAAAACTCCTTAAGGTGATATTTAAACAGATACATAAGTAATTGAATTCCTCTGTTAATGTTTGGTTTCCCCTCAAGCTGACTTATAACTTCAACTAGAAGCCATAATGTTTTCAACTCTCGCTGTGGCAAGCTTTTTCATTTTTCAAAAGATGGATATCTCCCCTCAGAAAGATGCTCTTTACAGGTTCTGTAATGAGAAAGTGGTTCAGAGAGCGTGCCTCTCCTCGTGTTGCAGTCAGGGTAAGCTCACTGCAGGTGAGAAATGTTTCTGTTGCCTACCTTCGCGCCGGGTAGCCCTTCAAGCCCGGGTAAACCCATGAGTCCCGGCTCCCCCTGTGAGAGGAAAACACACCACCTGTTGTGTTAAGATGAAGAGATCCCTTCTTATTTCAGATAATATAGACTTATAACACATATTAGAGTGTTTGATCTCCCATTCCTGAAGGATGGGGAAATTTAGCATAAAACTGATTTTAAACTGGTAATGAAAAGCTGTAGGTACGTGAATAAACAACTGTGCAAACACAGAGCAATATTACACACAAGAGCCTGTAATTTTCATGGTTTTCTTTCAAATAAATATTTGTGGTTTGTTATTAAAGCAGCAATCCAGATGTCTGACCCTGTTCTGTGATATAATCTAGGCAATACGTCAATTTTTACTATTGCCAAGGCCCCATCACACACGGCCCCATGCAATTTGAATTGAGTGCCGCTAAGCATTAGCCATTAGACATCGGCTTACGTACAGATGTCAATCACGGAGCGTGCGTTTGCAGAAGTTTCGGGACTGAGCAGCATTTTCAAGCTGTTTATAAATATATGGCGAATCATGAATACTGATCCCACGACTGCTTGGTTCTACTCAAAGAAAAGTCCATGGATTAAACTTGCCAAAAAGCGCCTCGAAAACCAGCAAAAAGTTTACCTTGGACCAGCTTTTTAACGATTAAAGCATCTCTGTGTTAAACTCAGATGTTGAACAGGTGCAGAGTAGGCAACATTTCTTATGGACATGTAATATATATATATATATATATATATATATATATATATATATATATATATATATATATATGATTGTAATTGTACTGGTGTGCAGTCATGAATGAGAGTTGCAGGGAGAGGGGCTTAAAGGAGCAATAAATTATTGACGCCTGTAGGTGGTGCCCTCTGAGAAAAAACTCCAGATTCCTGCTTTAAAGGAGTGCTTGGTATAAACACACATTTGCAGTGGTCTCTAAAATGCCTTGTAAGTCGTTCTCAGGTGGAAAACAAATGCACTATTTCTCGGACCTAACGCCACATCACATCACACCAGAGCTTCTGACGGCAGGTTTTTAGTCTTTTTCCTGATATTTGGACATCTCACTCTGGATTGGTTATATCAACGAGACTCAACCACTGACTTGCAACGGGAAAGTTTTTATCAACACAAATACCTCAGGCCAGGAAGAGCTTCTGCTGTGTAGTGGAGTTGCTAATGCTAACGGTTAGCTTAAACTAGCCGAGACGCTCTCTGCTGATTCCCGGACAACAACAGCCTTTCTCATCGCGAGTCAAGATGGGCGAGTCCGTCAATGATAAATCACAGAGTTTCACTGTCTTTTTTCAATCAGAAGTTAATGTCAAACTATTTTCATGTTCAGCCTGCATGAAAATCTTAGAGTGACCGATTATAATCAGAAATAATCAATAAAACATGTTTTTTTCGGTCAACCACACATTTAAGGCAAATGGCTGTTGATGTTCAGTGAGAAATGATTCGACCCCTTATCACAAAAGATTTTTCTTGTGCTTTTACATGATTCTAAAATCTGAACATTTCAGAACAGCAAACCATTGAGATCCTGAAACCCCAGTCAAACAATTTTTGGGTTATTTTCTTTGGGAATTTCTTTAGAAAAGGGCACAATGTGTTGCTTTTTGAGATCCTTTAGCCTTCTTGCTGTTGTCCCATAAAGTCGATCAAAGTGATTCCTCCCTTCTAAAGGTCTGGCGGTAATGAGGACTGCGTGTGGCTAGCTCACCTGCGCTCAGCTTTCCGATTAATAAAAGTAAATTCCTGATTTAATTTAATTTAACTTCATTTAAATCTTCACATATGGTTTGGTGGTTTTTGGTTTTTTGGTGACTTGTACCATTTTGTTTGTTTTAATGTAGGTTTTGTGTTAGATTTAGTAAACAAGTAAAAATTACTTGTATAAAAGGGGTAGGGACATATAAGTTTCCACTTCAGCCTACTCCTTTTCAAACAGAGAAGGGATGATGATATGTATTTTTTTCTGTTTGTGGTATTTTAAAAAAATTACATATGTTTTCTTTGTTTGAAATAAACTAAACTAATTACATACTAGGTTGGTTTGAATGGTTGTTCACTGTGATAAAACAAGTTATTGCTTTTAAACAGAATTTTATATTTTGTCCGGATATCTTGGATTTTTGGTTCCAAGGATTTGAAGCACTTAAGTGTGCCAGAAAAGCAAAAGCAGAGTCAATCTGTAAAGGGGCAAAAGCTTTTTCACAGCACTATCAGACAATTCTGAGAAAACAACCCCAGATGTCTCATGGCACATATAATTAAACCATGAAGGCTATAGATCTGTTGGGGGAAAAAGGGTTCTTTCCACAAAAAGACTTTCTTTCTGCTCTAAAAATAGAGTCTAATTCCCCGTACTCGAGCAAGTGATGGCCTCTATCTTCCTGCTCTTGCTCGAGCTTCTGTGGAGAAATGCCATTACGCAGAACAGAAGAGCAACCGGCACTGACACAGATGAATTGTGCAGGTAATTGTCACACATGTAGATTGTCATGAATAAGCTATTGTGGCTAACAGGGAGAGTGGACCAGCCAGAGGATCAGCTGTGAGACGGATTGGGGCAATTCCAGCACTGCACTCGAGCTGCTCGCACAATTTATTAAAATGTCACATTAACATCCCGGTGAAAAATCACTGCCAGACCAAACGATGAAAAACATAAATGTTCAGCTGGTCCCGCGAGGGTAAAGAATTCAGGCTGATGGCAGAGACGTCAAGTTGTTTTCAGGTCCGTGTGGACTGTGAGAGTTTTCACAGCTCTATCTGAGGGTAGAGGGGCTGGGAAGCACATTTGAAGTGGAGTGAGTATGTTGGTTCCCACTGGCAAGACAATATGGTACAAAGGTTTTATATTTGTTGGAGACTAAGTCATATTTCTCTCTGTGTTGGGTTCTACTGAGAGTGGTTAAGTACTCAGGCTCGAGGCTTTATTGACTTTTGTTGTGTGGTGGAAAAACCAGAGAGATAATGATGGAAGGCAACTGGCAGCTCCGGCTTCTCTTTTTGCACGAGCGGCATGAAAACGGATGAATGCTTCAAAAATATACTTTTCAAAATGAAAAGCTTCAACTCACTGGAGGTCCTTCATCTCCTTTGGGACCCTTAAAAGAGAGAAGAAAAGAGGACAGATTACCACCATGAATGTGACATACAGTACCATCAAAAAAACATGAATGGAGTCTGAAATAATATCAAGCTGCAGGTTAGTGTTGCTAAAATGCATAAAATTCCTTATTGCCTTATCATTTCACAGCATTTGTCTGTAAATCAAGCTAACGCTGTCTCTGTGTTTCAATGTGTGGGTCTAACAGAGGCTTTAAAAACTTGGACAGCATTTTTTATTAAAAAGAAAGATAAATGGCACGCCATGTTCCTTTTAACACTGATGAGGATGCTCTCTTATTGATTACTCCCGAGGAGCTGCCGGGTCGTGATGGATGCAGTACAGGGTGAAGCATCTAAAGATTTAGCTATAGTTCATGTGCATTGTGCACTGGGGACAGCCGCTTTTTGTCACCTCCTTAAGTGTTGGTAGTGGTGGATGGATCCCTGTAGGGCCTGTGACTGAACATCTCCCAGGACTGCACAAGATTACAAACTGTCTGATAAGGAGGGTGGAAGGAGGAGGCGATAAGCAAACCGGGTCACCTCGGCTTGCCACGGCGCGGCGCAGCTGAACTTCTGAAGTCCAGTTTGCATATCAATGATGTTGTGTGTCCTGGGGTAAATCACACGCACCTGTTTGAGAGTCAGGAAGCCTCTTGGCCTTTGCCAACCCCCAGCTCTCAGTGTGCATGATTGACTGTGATATAAGAGCCTCGAACACCACGATAACACCGGAGGGTCGGTTTGGGTTGTTTGTTATTCAGCTCTCACAGCCTCTGCAGCTCATAGAGTATTAGCATGTCTGCGCTAGTGTTCCTCCACAGAACACAGTAAAAGGATTTACTTCAGGCACAACAACACTTACCGGAACGCCAGGAGCTCCGGGGGGTCCCAGAATAGCTCCACCACTCTGGAAAGACATTTCTTTATATTATGACCAAATATTTTCCAATGTAGGTCAAACCAATTTGAACAACAAGAACAGATTCTTTTCATTTCTTCTGGAACGACTGAAGGCATTCTGTTATTGAATCAAGAGGATCACAGTGAGCTCCAGTCCGTTACCTGAAGCTTGTACAGACTGCTCATCCCGGTGCCCTCCACATAAGGCACACCCTGAAAAACAACCAGACAACTCCTCTCAGAAACTCCTTGAGTTTTAGTTACACAGAGACCTTACGCAAAACAGTACAGTAGGTCTGGAGCAATTATACACTGCTAAGCCTTTAAAAGCTACATGAGGGGGATCAATAGCTCATTTGGTGACTACACAGAGAACGAGAGAGAAAGAGTAACAGTGTGTGAGAGACAGAAAAGAAAAGAGCAGGAAAAGAACCCCTGAGAACAGTAGACTTAATAATCCTCGAGCCAGCTGTAATTCAAAAAACAAGGGTGTCTCAGAAACACAAAGGATAGCCGTGATTAAAGAGATTTGGCCATGAGAACTGAGTAATCCTGATTTTTGTGGGTTAGTATTAGAACATAAAAGGATGTTTTCCCGTGACAGATTTGTAGAGGGCAGCTTTTGTAAACCAAGAAGAAGTCAAGGTTCTCATTAAGAAGCAGGCAAAGGCCCGTGCCCTTTTCAGGCTGCTGAGCCCATTCTCTTGTCAGCCCAGGCTGCAGCTTTATGAGGCCAAGGTGCGTTTGTGTGGGTGTGCACTAGAACGTGCGTTTTTCAGGGGCCGGGGGTGCACGGCAAGTTCAAGGGGACGGCCGATGAATTATAGATTTGCTTTTAGAGGTGCTGACTCACTTGGCTTTTAAAGGGATGAAACATGATTCAATGCCAGCAAGCAGGTGGCCACGATGTGATCGTGTTTGCACTTGTTTGTCAGATTTACTTTCCTACTTGTGGTAAACGCTGTTAGACTGTGAAAACCACAAGTGCTGAACAGATGGCTTTAACTCTGTAACCTTAGGAGTATCAGTAACAAAACAACATTTTGTGTGCAAGAGGAGATGGAAAACCTATAATGATCAGAGACGTTTGGGGGATTATTGTTGATCAATGGCTCTTGTTGCAGTATAGGGACTTACTGGAGGTCCTGGAAGTCCTGGTCTGCCAGGAGGTCCTTCATTCCCCTGCAAAATAGAAACCCATAAAAAATGATTAAACATGCCTTTGAAAATGGTAACCTTTAGCTATAACCACTGCACTGATATAATAGCCTGGCAGGCTATCCTATATATATGAATGAATGAAATGGAATGGAATGGAATGAATGAAATGAATGAATAATGAATGAATGAATGAATGAATGAAAGAAATCTTTATTTCGAACATTATAATAAGAATAAAAATAACTATTATAACAATAATAATAATAATAACAACAGTCATTGTAGACATTAAAAATAAAATCACACTGATAATCCCACAAAAATTAAATTATCATATTCTGTTCAAAAAGGAGTAGGAGGAAGCTAGTGCTTATTAAATCCTACCCCCCTTTTCCCATTTGTTCAAGATCAAAAGGAACAGTCGTTTTCCTAATTCATCATAAATTTTCTATATTCATCTATAGTCAAATGGCCCATTTACACCATTACATACAAAATAGTTCCACATACCTTTTCCATTTATCCACCACACACAGCAATTAACATTCCCTACTACACATACTTACAACACACCCCATTTTCCTTTGTACACTTAAACCCTCACACCACTCATTGGATCTTTTTGAGTCAAAATCCCACTTCCTCCCTGTATCTCATGAAGACCATATTTTTGTACCACTTTCTAAATTGGGTCATACTTGGACATTGCTTTAAATCACTATTTAATCCATTCCATAATTTTACCCCACAAACAGATGCACTGACTTTTCACTGTTGTTCGCACAGACGGGTATTTTAAATTCCATTCCTCTCTCAAATTATATTGTTTATCTCTACATGAGAAATACTTTTGTATATTACCAGGGAGTAGTTTGTCATTAGCTTTATATATTATTTGTAATGTCAAGAATTGAACAAGGTCAGTAAACTTTAATACTAGGGATGCACCGATGGATCGGCATTTGATCGTAATCGGCCGATAGCGCCCCTATCGGTTTTGATCGGAGTTTTCAAAATAGATCAAAGCAGACCGATCAGCCGTAGGGTTGTCACGGTAACCAGTGTAGCGGTAAACCCCGGTAAAAAAAAAGTTGACAATAATAATAACCGTCTTGTTTTTTAAAAAACTATAATATCTTGGTGGGTTTACCGTGGCTGTGGTGTAGGCGCGGTGACCCTTACCAGCCACCGTATCATCTGCTGAAGTTGCGCGCTTCGTTGTTTACAACCAAAACTTTCTTGAAGCTAAAGCTGAAATAATGGCCAAAGGAGGAGACGGCAGCGCTCAGGAGGACATTTATTATCCCTCAAAGAAGACAAAGTGGGAAGTACGGGCATCTTTTAGATATTTGAAGAATGCCGAGGGACAGTTGATAGAAGACGGCTATCCTGTTTGCAGCACGTGTAGAAAAAGTGTCTGTGAAAGGCAGCAACGCTTCAAATCTCATGACACATCTGCGTGACCATCACCCACAACTCTACAGTCAACGCAAGGCAAGCGAACGTTAGCGTTTTAGCTAAAATGCGTGATCCGAGGATTTGGGTTGAGGGAGAATGCAACGAGTCGCTATATAAAGCAGCCGCAGCGCCGCTACTTGCATATAAACCGTGTCACGGACACTGCCATGTTGAAATGACGCTATGCATTACGGGGCTCCCAGCGGCAGATCAGAGTTGGTCTCTCTCAGAGAATAATTATGAATTTAACGATTACTGTCCGATGACATTTTCCCACATCTGCAAAGCTCACTGGAAGGACACAAACCGAGGACAATATTTTCCAGATATAGGGTTTATTACTCAAGTAAGGGTAAAAAAGTATCTGATTAGAAGGCTACTTGAGTACTGAGTATCATCTGAACTAATATTTTTAAAATGATGACATCAAACAGACAAAAAATAAGAAGTTATGAGCAAATATTGGTATTTTAAAGACTAAAGGGGAAAAATGTAAACAAATAAACAACATAATTACAAAATAACACATTTTAGACTAAATTTAGACACAAACTGAGGACAATATTTCCTGACATACAGGGTTTATTTAACTGTGTGAAAATGTAGCACGTAAAAAAAAATACTGCGATAATACTGAAAACCGTGGTAATTTTGGTCACAATAACCGTGAGGTTAAATTTTCACACCGTGACAACCCTAATACAGACCATTTTAGATTAGGTTTCCTTTATCCCCAGATTATGTAGTTTGTAGCACTCATAATGTTGTAGAAAATTTCTGGCCAATCCACGTGATCGGTATCGGTGATCAGCATTCTTTGATATCGGTATCGGTGATCGGCAGCAAAAAAACCTGATCGGTGCATCCCTATTTAATACTCGCGATTTCAAAAACAGGTTGTTAGTATGATCTCTATAGCCCGCTTTATTAATAATCCTGATGGCTTTCTTCTGTAATATTATTATTGGTGATAATGTAGTTTTATAAGTGTTGCCCCAGACCTCTGCACAATAATTCAAATATGGTTGCACCTGTGCACAGTATAACATGTGAAGTATATTGCGATCCAGGAAATGTTTCACTTTATTTAATATGGAAATACTTCCTACAGTTTTGTTGTGAATATGTTTTATATGTTGTTCCAAATAATTTTATCATTCATTATAACACCCAAAAATTTATAATGATTCACCCTTTCAATAGTTACACCATCAATATACATCACAATTTGGGTGTTTACTTTGTTATTCCCAAATAACATGTATTTTGTTTTACTTAAATTCAATGATAATTTATTTTTATGAAACCATTTTTTTACTTTAAACATTTCTGCAGAAAGTATTTCCATTAGTTCGTTTGATTTTTCCCCTGAACAAAAAATATTTGTGTCATCAGCAAACATTACAAACTTTAATATTTCTGAAACCTTACAAATATCATTAATATATAGAATAAATAACTTTGGACCCAATACTGAACCCTGTGGTACACCACAAGCAATGTCCAAGTATGTTGATGAAAACTGTATATATATATATATATATATATATACATATATATATATATATATATATATATATATATATATATATATATATATATATATATATATATATATATATATATATATATATATGACATACTCATCATTGCAGCACTTAGTCAAAGGGGCAGTTTGCCATATACCACCAAAGAAGGAGAAGAAGCAAGAACATGCTTTTATGAAATAACCAACTTAGGGCCTCTATCCACTCATTCCTCAAAGAAATTTCAAGTCTAAATTGTCCAAAGTTGATGCCATGAAGCGGTTTCAAATGAGAGCCGTTCCTGATCTGACGCCATCTTTGTAGATTTTCTCCATTGCAGCACCAGTATCAAGTCCATCCAACAGACATAGAGCGTTGTGATTGGCTAGACACAAAATTGTTCAGCCAATGGTAGACCTGCTGATATTATGGGATGAGTGAGGATTTTTCTGTTGTTTTAATAACATTTTGCTGTATCTTTTTTTTATATTTAATCACTTTTTGGAAAACTAACACTTTTTTAGACTTTGAGTTTTCCCATTAATCTATTCCCTTTGAAATATTCATTCATTCATCAGTTCTTTATCTTATCGTCTCTATCCTTAGGGTCATCGGGCGATAATAGGGGAAGACCACAGACGCAGAGACAAAAACCCAATCACATTCACTCACACCTAGGGACAATTGGGAAGAAACCAGAGTACTTGAAGAAAACCCACTCATGCATGGGGAGAAAATGCAAACTCCCTTTCTGAATATTGTTTTCCCATTCCCCCCACCTCTAAATGTCACTTATTATTTGTCTCTTACCTCTGTGATTCTCCACTCAGTTGCCCAAACCAGATTAGGTCTGTCATCCCATATATTCAATTAAGTGAACCATCCAATAGGCAGAATATCTTAAACCCTTTCTGAGTAAATCTACAGTGGCATGGCAACGGACGCAGATACTGTTCTGTCAGCACAAACTGCAAAAGCAGGGCAGGTAAATCCCCCACAAGTATTTATATCAAAAATGATCATGACTACTGTTTGGACAAAAGTCCCTTTTAAACTTTTGCCTAAGATTCGTCGGATTCAGAGATCTAATTGGCCTCTTCCGACACCCAATGCCAAACTGTTCTTGATTAAAGAGGAAAGATGAAGAAAAATGAATCAGAAAATGTTTCCATCAGACTTGCTGCTGTGCCTATCATGCCTTTTCTCAGCAGGTATCGTTTGTAGAAAATGCAGACCAACAACATGAATTTGTGAGCGAGCTTTAGAATATCAGGAGGCAATTTTTGAAGAATTAAAGGAATGAAACATTTGGACCTACTCGTGTCTGCATTTTTAGGTCCAGGGAAACAAACCCAAAAAGCCCTTAATGAAATCACTGACTCATCACTCTAACAGTAGGTCAGCCTAACTACATTTTGGTTCAGATTTCAGTTACAAAACCAGAAATCATGATGTTGGCAAATGCAATATTTTTAGAGGATTCTGTACATCCCCCCGTAGGGAGACGAGTGAAGGTACGTTGCCACGGCAACCTTAACAAGCAAGGTTCAGAGCCGCCGCTCGTTAGCAGCAGCTGCAGTCTGTGTGTTGTGACCAAACATTAAAACACATTTATGAACCACTTCAATGTACAGATGACACGCATGGCAATAAAGACATTTTAGAAAAACACACTCACTTTATACACATTATAGCACACGGGGACAAAGACACATAAATGCGCGCGTGCACACACACACACACACACACGCACGCACGCACGCACGCACGCATGCACGCACGCACACACACACACACACACACGCACGCACGCACGCACACACGCACACACACACACGCGCGCGTGTGCACAAAATTCACATACCACTGCACACATTACATCCACAGAAGCTGAGAGACATGCCCTCCAACACAGTTTACAACACAAACAGATGTAGTAATGTCTATGCAATGCAAACTACACACACACACACACACACACACACACACACACACACACACACACACACACACTCGCACATCCTCATCTAGCATTTGTTGTGACAACTGTCATTGACTTCTGTTCATGTTCGTGACTGGATTGTGACTAACCCTATCCATAACCATTACCAGTATGCAATACTAACTATACACATACACACTTGGTAGATCTGCTTTATGAAGGAAAATAATATCAAGGCACCTTACTTTTTCTCCTTTTGGTCCATGTTGGCCCATTGAACCAGGTCTGCCCATTAGTCCCTGCAAAGTAAACAGTTGCTCTAAGTTTAAGAGTTTATCCATTTTAAAAATGGCCATTAAAGGTCTGGAACACTCTAATAGGAATGAATGCCTTGTAAGTCTTACTTGAGTGGGTGGTGGTGGTGGAGCGGTTGGGGGGGGGGGGTCTTATTTCTGGATATTTAGACATCTCGCCTCAGATTGGATAGCAGCATTGTGCATAGACACGAATACGTAGATGTCTCATTGTGACTCTACCACTGACTCAGTTTTCTCTGCAGCATTGATGTTCTACCTCCACAAGCCAACAAAAGCCTGAGAGGTGCTGCTATGTGGTGAAGTTGCTAGTGCTACTGGTTAGCTTCTACTAGCTGAGACATTCTCTGCTGTTTCCTGGACACTAAAACAACAGCAGCCTTCCCCCGTTGCCAGTCAAAATGGTTGAGTTCATGAATGTTAAGTGGCAGTGTGATGTAGATCTGTCAGGCTTGTCTAATTTCTTATCGTGCTCAGCCTGCATGAAAAACTCAGCGTGACCAATTAATAATCATAAATAAGATAAAAAATGTTTTTTCAGTGTTCCACACCTTTAAGCACCCTAGTTGACATCAAAATGTTTGCAACAAAATTCTATATGATGGCAACACTTCTTACTGGAGCTCCTGTTTGACCCGTCACACCAGGAAGTCCAGGTACTCCTGGCGTTCCCTACAGGAATCAAAGTAAATTGTTGTTTATTCATTTAAAATAATTGCCAGAGTGGAACAAAAAACAAAAAGCAATTTATAATGGTACGCCTCTAGAATGTTGAGAGTAATGGATGGATCTATTCACAAGCACTTAACTGTTAATTGAGACTTTTGACTTCAATATTGAACAAACAGCAGGAAGATTGAAAGACGTGAGAAAGGTAAAACATAACCATATGTACTATAAAACACAGGAGCAGGGGCTCTACTTTAGTCTAGTTTATACTTCTCCATCTGCAGATGGTGCGGAGACATGCAGCGCCATTATCCATCAACGCAAGGGCTCTCTGACAGACACGTAAGGATAGTAAGAGTAAAGCCTAATCTATTAAACGCAATGAAGAGTGCACATCTGTGATTGGTCAGCCCAATCAGGGCGTCAGCAAAATATCCATCCGTCATTCTTTTGTTCTTCAATATAAAGCAGCTCCAGCTCTATCAGACCCGCTCTTTGTCGGCCATTGCTCCTTTAGTAGATTGGCGTTCACAAACGTTTTTTTCCCAAACTTAAAGAGACAGTGTGCATTTTCCCAGGTGATAGGGGCAGTACTTACCTAAATGATTGCAAGCAAGCATTACTTTTGCGTTTGAGTAAGACCGTACCAACGGATGGCCATTAGGGTCAAAATTTCCCGGGAGTACAACCTCCAACAAAATAACAAGAACATCCGATTCTCTTTCATCACTGGCAACGAGTGTAGAGATAAATGTATAAAACAACAAACTTTATTAATGGCGAAAGTTTTGTAACCATTTGTTACAAATCAGTAAATGTGATTTGTCCTCACGGCCCAGAGACTTAGACCTACTCCCATATATTTTAGAACAGATTTTTTTTTTAATTATATCTTATAAAACTGCCAATATTTTTCAACAACTGGGCATCTTTTAATTCATTTGCAACATGTCGATGGATATTTTTAGAGATTAATGGTATGAACTACACAATGTTACATTAAACCTATTTCTAAGGCTGACCTCGGCCACCCTGCAAAAACAAAAAATAAAAAATACGCATTTCTGCCATTTGTATTCCCGATCTTATTCTTCAGTTATTACCAAAAACTCATGACCATGAGTGAAGACTGGAACAGAGATCTACCAATAAACTGAGATCTTTGCTTTCTGGCTTAGCTCCCTCTTCTTTACAACAGACCGGTCAGCATTCGCATCACTACAAATGCTGCCTTAATTCTTCTGTTGATCTCTCAATCTTTTCTTCTTTTCCTTTTGTGCAAAAGATGCCATTTACAAAACCCCACTACTCACTTCATTACTACAACGATCAATCGCAGGGCTGGACTGCGACATATTTGGAAAACCTAATCTCAATGTTGTGCTCTAAGTACTGACCAAGAGGGGTTTTCCCTTCACCATTACCCTGTTTTATACATTATAATCATGTTCCGATGAGGACTCTATACAAAGGCCCTTGCACCATGCCTTGGATCTCATCCTGACACAACTCTCCTAAAACCATGTCAGGATGGTGCTAGAACCAGTCAAGCCATGCTAACGCAGTTCTGACAGAGATATAGGGTCGTAGCTTAGGAGTGAGGTCAGCACAGTCAATCCTACTTTAAATCTTTGACTTCTAAACTTTGTAAATGTGTAGACCCACCCAGCACCACGATAAGACTAGGGATGATGGAAAATGTACTGAAATATTGTGATGATACTGAATCGGTATTTTTAAAACGCGCATGCAACCATTAACTGAATGTTTTTAGTTTGTTGCAATTAAAGCTGCGTGGCAGCAGTTTTTACCACCTTCATCTTTACAGAACAAGATCACTGGAGGTGTCTTGGTAGTGTCTGCATTGGCTTTTAGTATTGCAGTTTGTCGTATCGTCTCCTGTACGGTGAGATACCTTGCCAATACACAACTTTGCTAATGGAGTTTTGTGCATGCGCAAAACCTTTGACCTTTTAAAATCTATCGTGCATAATGGGGTGCTGGCTGTGTTCTTTATGCACATCTGAGAACTGAGATTTACAAAAAACCTGCAAAGTTCATTCATGCTGTGACTCATTATCTTTTGCATCATAGCAAGAGGCATAATAATCTAGTAGCAGAAACACTGCAACATTAATGATATTGGCTACCCCAAATGGTACTGGACCGTTAGACACACTTAAAAAAAGGTATAAATGGATATTTTTATTTAATTGCAACCTCATAAAAGATGTTTTGTTGTTAATTTAAGCAATGTTTTCTAATTAAATGGATGGCTTTTTGTGTAAATATCCCCTGGCTTCTCTGCTGATAGATAACAATGAAAGGCCCCTCTCTAAAGAGTACCCTGGTTTAATTACACATATAGGAAAACATGCATCAGGCAATGTTCTTCATAAGGAAAGTCCTTTGAGAGAACCAATGCACATGGAGCCCTGTGGATAGCATCTGATAGCTTCTTTAGAAGTCACAGTGGTCAGGCTTTAAAGAGGCCAAAATTACAATACATTTAAATTATTTTGAAAAATGCATCTCTCAATGTCCCAATTTCTTCCTGATGGTTAGATTAACTCATTTAGATGAAATTTTCTCTCACTCACCTCGTCACCTTTATCTCCAGTCGGGCCTGGGAACCCTCGTTCTCCTTTTACTCCCTGCAGGGGAGCAAAAGCAGTAAGGTTGAATGAAAAGTGAATGTTTTTCACCAACAAGAAGAGAAAAAAGCCTCAAACTAAAAGGGTAAATGAGTGTAAACTTAAAAAAGGCCCTTCCAGCACACAACTTGAAATTTCCAAGCCTGTTTTTCTGTGGTGCAAGGCTGTATCCATAGCAACAACTTCTGCAGAAAGCACGGGTGTTCATAATAATATGAATATTAGAACAGCTCTTTAGGCTTACAGCGATGATAGGAGTAGAAACTTATTAAAATAATTAGTCAATGTAAACCTACATTTACAAGATTAAACACAGAACAAACACTTAGCTAAAACTGCACTGTTAATTTGAGAGATTCTTGCCATGCTGAAAAACTGAATAATTAAATTTGTGGCAATTCTATTAAGTTATTTACTTGTATTTTTCAAAACTCATTACTTCCTTGCCTACCTTTGGGCCTTCCTTCCCTGGGTTACCCATGGGACCTCTTACACCAGGATCCCCCTAATTAAAACAGAAGTAAAGATTCAACTTTCTTATGAAGCACTGCTAACATACCGTAGACCACAAACATGCAGGCCCCTCTGGATTGGTGTAAACAAAAGATTAATTGGTAACACTTTAAAATAAGGGTCTCTTTGGTAATGTTAATTAAACATTATTAAGCATTACTAAACTATTAATAAAGCAGTAACAACTGCTTAACCATATTGAGTAATGCATTACTAAGCAGACCTCCCCCCAGCTCTTTGTTCCACCCTTAATGACACTTAATAGTTAACAACACTGAGAGCATTAATAAAGAGACCGTTTGCTTATTAATGCTTAATAATGAACTAAGTAACATTAGTAATGGGACCCTTATCGTAAAGTGTTACCAATTAATTAATTAATCAAGGTTTTTGTTACTCATTTATTCAATACATTTGCAGTGTTCTCTAGTGTAAAATGCCTTGTGAGTCATTAAAAAAAAGCCATGATGCTGCTGTTCTGAGAAGTTTGCTGGTGCAGAGGTGAGCTGAAAACAGAAGGATTACTCATTATTATTAATGTTTTGCACACACTTCGCTTCTAATAGGCTAACAGAACAGGTTCAGCCGTGTTGCAAAGTTACTATCACCGAGACGCTCTCCCTGCAAAAATTATTTTAAAAAAGCCTTCCTGTGGGCAGGTGCGAGCCATGGTGGGCTAGGCCATGAATGCAAATTCACAGTGCGACATCACAGTGTGAGGATTTTCAAATCCTAACATTTCACCGTCCATTTTCTATCAGAAGTTAATGCAGGAGATAGGCATAAGAGACTGTTTTCATGTTGAGCCTGCATGAAAAACTCAGAGTGACTGATAATTATCAGAAATAATCATTAAAAAATGTTTTTTTCAGTTAACCACACCTTTAAACTCTCAAAATTTCAGAGATAACAGAAGTCAACGACATTAAGTAAAACATTAAATTTGCAGAAAGATCAGATTAGATTTTTTACTTGTTGTCTTTTTAACTGATATCAGAAAGTTTAGCAATAAAACACACTTTGCCCAAAACAACCATATCCAAGTCCACTCAGCCTATTTGCCTGTAATCCAGTGCAAAAATATTTAAAAAATGACAGATCAAAAAGTACCTTTTCTCCCACCAAGCCTTCCACTCCTTGCGCTCCAGGGGTCCCCTTCTCTCCCTTCTGCCCAGGCAGCCCGGGAACTCTCGTCTGGCACACACTGCAGGCGTTCTGCCAGCGCAGGCGAGGCAAGAAGCAAAAGCGGTGGCACAGATTAAATTTCATCAAGCTGAGCTGGCACACCATATTTTCACCTCATATTTTGACACCTCCTCTGGGTGGGAGACAATACCTAAACTGACACAAAATGTTATCCTAAATGTCTACTGAGCAGAAATAAGGGGAACTCTCCATGAGTGTCTTTCATGAAAGTGAGAGGTGAACTTTGTCAAAGTCATTGATTGTGACATTTGGGTAAGAATAACTGTCCCTACAGACAAATATTTCTAGAAAAATATGTGGGAGCTCAAAATTATAGAGATGTAGGAAACTTCATTAATTAAACCTGACAATTAATAGTAATTTTAATCAAGTGAGAATGGATCGTTTTCCAGGATAGAAATTCAGAATGAAAGAAAATGCTTGAGTTGAAAACGTTGGCTTATTTTATTTTTTTTTTAATTTCTGAACCAAAAGTCCATTCATAACTTTAATCAGAATTCCAGTTCTTTTAAAAGCTGTAAAATCCGGTCTGTTTCCACTATCGAGACTTCCAGATAATACACCGGACCTTTGAGGCACGCATGTGTCTTTGTTTCACAGGGCCAGCCCCAAAGGGCCATTTTCTGGGCCCTTTCAGGAGTCACCAGAGTACCGGTACTGGAGTATGTACTCGAACATGGTCCGATGGAGTCGCTGGGCGGGACTTGTGGTTAACTCAAACTTTTTGTTGAAACGGAATGGAAGAAAAGCACACTGTAAAAAAAGCAACCTATCGAAACTACCCAATGAAACTGAGGTAACAATTTGCTTAATTAATTTATACCCCATATATGTAGTAACTTATATTCAAAGTTAAGAAATACCTTAAGGAATTGGGTAAAATCTAACTGACATTTATTAGTAACTACTGCCTAATTTTCTAAGCTAGAAACTAACTAACTAAATTTGACACACATGCCAGAGCTGGGATCAATCCTGCAACCTTCTGCTTACTGTACCACCTGCTCTACCTACGTAAAGCTGCTGCTATAAAAAACAAATCACCATTTTTAAACTCCAAACACCAAGAAATGCATAAAAATACGTCCACAACGCTGTAACCCATGCTTATGGTTTAACGCCACTTTTCACTTCACACAGCCGTTCTCCCTGTCCCCCAAATGGATTCATTCTACAGCAAATTTTGACTGAATAAAACTTTTCATAATATAAATGTTTGTGGATGCCTTTTGGCACTAATCAGTGAAGTCACTCGCAGCCAAAGCAGCGATGTGCTGATTACTTAGCAAAGTCCTGAACCTTCTGATCTCCCGATCACTTTTCTCCATCACAGAAATGTCTCTGAACTCTACAGTGGAAACATGGCTAATACCTGCATAGTAGTGCATTACATAATATGGTTAAGCAGTTGTTAATATGTTATTTAATACTTTGTTAATGCTTTATTAAGCAATTAGCGTTAACCCTTATTATAAAGTGTTGCCAAAATTTGCAAGATGCAAATTATTATCTTTATCTCAGAACCATAAATAAAGAGTTTGTGTTTTACTTATTCATTAATTAAACCAACATATAACATTTACAATTAATAAATTGACATGATTAGATCTTTTGAAATGTAATTGTGTAAGACCTGCATCTACATCTGTGTGTCTATGAATGTGTTACCACTGACTTTCGTTCCTGCTAGCTTGTTTTTTTTCTTGTGCATTGCATCTGAGGTGAGACATGTTTACTGTACACAACATCCATTTCACTGTGAGGCTTTTTAGAATGTTGTCACCTGTGGTGAATGAGTTTTCCTGGATTTCCTGAGAAAATATTGGTTCTCTTCCCCAGTTATCCTGGTGGAGGCACTCACGGGCTTAGAGTGCCTGTCTTGGTAGCTCCCATAGGTTAAAATCAACAAACCCTGATCTTTTTAAAAGACTAACCCAACATTATTTTTTTTTGCAAGTCATTGTTTTTGAAAGGCTGTAATTACTGAGAACAAAGAAAATGAAATACCTTGAGTAAAGCACCCGTGTCTCCGATAATAGGCAGGGCGGTCTGTCAGAAAAAAAAGAAGGAGAAAGTGTTATTTTTTCTTCAGAGCTAATCATTCATGTTTTTGAAACAGATTGCGTTTGTTTGGTGCAGCAGCATCTTAGAAATGGCTAAAAACACAACCATCTGCATAAAACAGCAGTAATGGGATTCATAGAAAGATGTCTGATGCATTTGACTCACCATGAGATTCCATTTCTATCTAGCAAAGAAGAAGCTTTAATAACAACTATTCAGACTCATCATACCCTCAAAATGCCATCGCTTTGAACGCTCGGCCAAGTAAAGAAAAGCTCAGAGTTAGGTCAAATTATTTTCTTAATTCACAAAATATAAAACCAACAGCACCTATGCCATGCACCTTTTGTTAACTTTAGATAAACAGAATTATTTGCATGACGAGGCTGAGATGCAGAAGCAGCATGTGGTAGATTGCAGCTATCAACCCTAACCCTAACAAATACAAATGCATTTAAAATGCATAAAAAAACAACCCTAAATGTGACACCCCTCCCTCTCTATCAATAAGCTAAAGATTTTCTTTTTGCTAAAACTGAAGCTGGTGAGTGAACAGTAGCTATTTATCGCCAAACTGGAGCTGTGCTCTAAATATTAACACGGACTGCAATGGGATCTCCGCGGGTCCCGTTGCTGATCAGTGATGCTGAACTGCACAAAGTGTAAATGAGATTTTCCTACTTACTGGTTCACCTGGAGGTCCAGCAGGGCCCGGTGGACCCGGTCTACCTGGGGAGCCCTTAAATTGAGACAAAGAGCAGAGTGAAAAACCCTCCAGGAAGTAAGATAACATGTCAGGCTGCAGATTTTCAGATCCCTCGCTGTTGGTGGGGATTTGCGTTTAAGAGCTGTGAAACGCATACTTTCATTGTGACAGTATTTTATGCCTCTTTTATCTGCAGATACATGTGGGAGTAAAAATAAAGTGATAACTGAGACCACTCACCTCTTTTCCTGGAGGTCCAGGTGGGCCAGATAAACCTTGCGGTCCACGAGGTCCCTGAAGAATATCAATAGAGATTGAATCTCTATAAATTCAATTATTTCAAGGAATCAAGGATCTTTATTTGTCATTGTACCAGCGTCCCAGTACAACGATAGTACAGTTTCAGAACAACCCATCAAGGTGTGACATAACAATAAGAAGCCAAGACGCAACATAACAGAATCAGGCTGAACTGTGGGCACCGTGCTCCCATATGCAGATAGAAAAGGGTTAGATGAGGATAAGAGGGGGAGGGAAAAATACATTTCAGAATTACCCCCAACAAAGGGTAGCTTTGCTATGCAAATAAAACATCTGAACATATCAGCACAAAAACATCAGACAGACACGAGACTTCCGATTATTTGACACATTTGGCAATAATTAAGTGCCTGAAATGGAACCAGCACTGACTAAACAGAATCATTTAGAAAAACAAAAGACATGTTTCTGGGTTGTGAAGTTGGGAATTTTCCACCGACCTCAGTTCCTGGCTTCCCCGGGGGTCCCACGGGGCCCTACAAACACATCACACATCTTGTTAACACCATCTCCCCTCTAGCACCCGGATCCAATGTAGTAATTGTGTTTGGCACCTTTTGCTCTATCGATTCTTTGTCTCAGGCTATCCTGTTTATTGTTTTAAACCAACAAATGAACACAAATACACTCACAGTCAAATCTGTGAGTTTTAAAATATACCGCACGAAAGCGTTTCTTTCGTTTTGTGATGTAGCGTGAATGAAATCCACCAGAAGCTCCCAGTAATGAGCAGTGACTTTACTTAAAGTTGTGTTTAATGACCTTTATACACTTTTTTTTAGCATCTGCAACAAAACGAACGAAGAAACGTTTTGGTCTGCAGTAAATAATGAATGAGGAAGTGACGGATCAATCAACACAACATCATACTCACGATGATGGTCTCCCCGGGTTCTCCCCTCTCTCCATGCTCTCCCGGTATTCCTCGCTCTCCCTAACAAACACAGAGGAGCTAGCTGCTCAGCATGATCATTAACTATTAAACTCTGCAAGAAGCATTCTTTCCTCATCTTTTGTATTTAGATGCTTTAGAAAAAAAAAGTTACGGTGAAGGACATCAGCAAATCCTTCAATTCTTATCTGTTGCTTCTGATTTTATCCTAGAGCTTTTGTTTATTTTCTTCACATAACCCCATTAATATGTTGGGGATCTACAAAAAAACCAAACCCTTTGTTATCCAAAAGGAGGAAATTATTTGAAAATGTTGTTGTGTTGTTTGAGACAATTAGAGAAACAACCTTCAGTGTACTTCAGATAAAGCTGTTTTATTTTGCAGGGTCCTGTGAAAACCAACTACAGTGCATTCAGTGAACATTTTCAAAAAATTTAATCAGTAAACTTTATATTAAACTCTTAGTTTAAATAATGGATTCTGAATTCATTTGCAGTTATTTTAACCTATTTTATTCAATCATTCAATATCTTTAACCAGGAATTCTCATTATTACTAAAGTGTCTGATGTAATAAAATTTACAAAATATGTATAATGAATCAAAGCCAGTATCTCATTGGGACGCCACCATCAGTGATTTGGAGAAATACAAATGTTTAAAAAATATGCAAATTTTCTTTTGGAGTTGAACTGATTTAGTATAGGGAGCCTCGTCTCCTCCCCTTCCAGCTAGCTCATAGGTCCCCTGAACGAAAAAAAAAAACATTGAAGAAAACGGGTTCGTAGCCCTGAATCACACATGTTTAGCTTCAATTTAACTGAAGATTTATTATATGTGTTTCAACTATGTCTGTCACCTAATTAGAGATTTTTTTATTGTTAAAATTTGTAATTAAAATGACTACATATCAGACATCACATGTATACGACATCACTGCAAAATCTCTTCTTACCCAGCGTAGCTGCTTCTTGGCCAGATTTATAGTGGTTTTCTCCACGTTTAACTCTCCTTTCGTCCCGAAAGAAGGATTCAAAGCTCGCTGCCTAAACTTCTCCTCATTTCTGTGTCTGGTTTGATGATGTCAGTTTGGTGAGATGAGCATTTGTAGCCCTCTACGTCTTTTCACACAAAACGTAGAACTGTTGAAAATAAGCACTTTTTTACCATTAAAATATGTTTTTAAAGTTTACGGACATCATATGTGAAATCCATGGCACATATCAAATGGGATCAGAAACTAACTTTTTACGGTACATATTTCTGGCTGCCCACTAGATTTTCTCCCCTGCTAAAGAGGTAAATCCAGTCACTGGTCACTTTATCCATGTCTTGTTGAACTCCTCTTTAAGCTCTGGTTTCTTCACATTTTGTTTAAGCATGCAGTGGTTTGTCCCTATTAAAGAAAACCCATGTGAATCCATCTATTCTTTCGAATTTTCGACCTGTTTCAAATCTCATCTTTTTATCTACAAGATTTCTATAATTAATTTTAAATGGGGTGCCACAATTCATTGATAACTCCATTCTAGAAACTTTCCAATCTAGTTTCAGATCATGTCACAACACTGAATTGGGTCTTCTGAAGGTCCAAAATGTGCAGTGGATGAGAGGTATCCAGTTTTGCTGGTCATGCTGGAACTTTTATTTTCTTTCACTGCGGTTGATCACAAGATACTCGTCTCACGCCTTTAAGTCTGTTGGTCTCTGAAGTCCAGTTTGCTTCATATTTGTCAGATAGGACCTTTTCAGTGATAGTCTGTGATGTCTCCTCCCCACGGGCTCCACTTTCCAGTGGTGTTCCCCAGGGATCAATTCTCGGCCCACTGCTCTTCTCCTTGTATATGCTGCTACTTGGGAAAATCATAGCAAGATATAGTCTCCACTTCCATTGTTATGCGGATGATGTGCAAACATATCTACCAGTTGGCACTAACATTACATTAACTTCACTATTAAACTACCTCAATGACCTCCAGCAATGGCTTTCTGACAACTTCCTGCTTTTAAACGAAGACAAAATTGACTGCATAGTGTTCATACCTCCAAACCATCTGCACGCCACCCTATATCTGCACACCTGACCTTGACCCAATGGCCTCAAAATGCAAGCAACAAGTCAGAAACCTTGGTGTGATAAGTGATAACAGACTCAGTTTTGACAAACAGATTAATGCAGTGGTTAATGAAAGCTTCTGCCAACTTCTTACAACTTATTTCTAAGTTTATGAGAAGGAAATCATAAAAATAGTCCAAAAATGTATTTGAACCAACTATATCTTTAACACTTCTGCCATGGCAGTCACTTTGTTTTGCATTTTGCATGTTTAATTTATTTATGAGATAAAAAGGATACAGCCATGCTATACCGTAACTTCTTCTAAATCTGTGTGAATTTACATAAAAATGATTATATGTTTATTCTTTTCTTTTATAAATAAAAACTTAAAGGAATAGACAAAGAGCACAGAGACATAAAATAAATCTGGCCATAGAAACTGTGTAAGAAAAACTGATAACACGGACAGTTGCGATTCTGAAACAGTCTGTGTGTTATTTGTGGTTGAAAAAACACTATTTAGCTAATTCAAATAAATATTATCGGAAATTATAAACTTATATGGTGAAAGTTTTTACCTTTAAATGCAGCAGGCAAAATAACTGCCAAGGTTATTTTGTAGTAGTGACGGTGTGATGGCTGTTCTAGTGTTAGGTTAAACTGTCATCAAATGTATAGGGTTACTCTCGAGTCAAATCCTCTAAAAATGTTTATTTCACCACCTCAGCAGATCTTACCTTCGGCCCACGAGACCCTCTAATCAGAGAAGACCCGTCACTCTGCAAAACAACAGGAAAAATACAGCAAAATTCTCATTTTTCTCAGTAATCCTGTGGACAATTAATTTCTCTATTTCTCATTCAAACAGATCTTCAATTAAATCAGGACTCTTAGAATTGTACAAGCTCGTCAAAAGTATAACATGAACGGTCAGAGATTCATTAAGAGTTTGCGTTCAGAGGCAATGCACCGAGGCTCAGTGATAATGCTACAACACTGAGAACAAAACGATGATTGGAACCGAGGCCAGTGTAAGCATTATTTACTGTGCCATCCAGATGAGACATTGATTTCTGTGGTCAGCATGTATTAGTGTGACAAGTCCTACATTGCACAATGTAAATTAGGTTTTTGCTGAAGTTGGATTTGGACTAACACAGCAATTCTACGGTAGAAGAGGAGAAAATGTGCTCTCAAACATCAAACCCAAAAAGTTCGGGGAGTTCAATACTCTTACAGTCGAGTGCAGCTTAATGATGGAAAGTTAGTTTACAAAAGAAAACACGTTTTGTTAAATACAACACATCTCCACTGGTCTGAAACAGAGCATGTTATTTTATGAGAAAAAGAGTGATTGCAAATCTATTTTAATAATACAACAAAAGAAGCAGGGAGCACAATAACTGTTATTTATCTGAAGGCGAAACGTAATTGGTTGTCTGAACTTCTGCAGTGGCTTGGCTCATCGAAGATGCTCAGAGAATTAGTTATTTTTACTGACTTCTGTTTTCCTGCAAAGCCGACAGTCAAAGGTGAGTCAAGCTATTTCTCTTTGCTGAGCTTCTGACCTACAACACGTAAGGTCAGCAAATAACCGTAAACTCACAAACAAACAAACCTCTTGTCTAATTCCCAATTATCCCAGAGCCGGAGAGGGTTAAAGAGGTTTAAATATTTCAGCAATCTTTCCCTTATTACACTGCTCAATGTGTTGCTCGCTCTATTAGCGGGTTCACAGTAAGAGCTTAATGTTCGGCTCGGTGTTTCACACACAAACAAACACGGTGGTTTAAAAAGCTTTGGCTATGATTGAGGAGCACAAGTGCTATCAACCAGGGCTGAGCCACTTCTGTATGCAAAGCCATTTCTATTACCGAGTACGCTCAAACAGCTATAAGCTCCGTAATGGGAGGATAGGTGATTACACAGCTGGAGTTTTCCAGGGATGGACTGCTTAATGACCTCGCATTTCCCTAATGTCAGTGGTGTACTGTCCGTCAGGTCTGTTGGAGCAAATCCTGGTGAGCTGTTGCATTAGTGGCCAGGCGGCAGTTCACACTGGCCCTATGCTACTGGACCTTTGAGACAGAATCCATTTTTCATGCTCTGGAAGACTACATGTACCCCAATCCATGGATTAACCCGCTAATCCAGACTTCCGGTACAGATGAAACTCAAAAAATACAAATATGGTGCAAAAGTCCATTTAGCTTTGACTGAGAGACCATCTAAAGGCTCAGAAACCCTTTACAGGTGTTCCGGATTAATTAGCTGATTAGAATGTGACACTTTACGCCTAGAATATTTAACCTTTTCACAATATTGTAAAATGTCTGAGAGTTTGAATTTGGGGTTATCATAAGCTTTAGGCCATAATAATCATAACGATAACAAATAAAGGCTTGACATATCTGGCTTTACACGGAACAAGTGTATCTTATATATTAGTTTCACCTTTTAAGTGAAATTACGGAAAAAATATAACTTTTGCACAATATTCAAATTTATTTGAATTTCACTTGTAGTGTCCAGCTTCTTGGGGGCAACAGATGCTTGAGAAGGGGGAGTGGGCATCCCGCAATCCACCCTTACCACTTTGTTCCCACCAGAGTGGGGAGAGCAAAAGGGGTGGAGCTATGTGGCCCAAATCCTTGATGTCCACCAGAATCAGGGCTGGAACTGAGAAGCTGAAGCAGGGAAAAGCAATAGTCCCCCTAGTGGCTGGTTCTGGTCAAAGCTTTAAGTTTTGTCTCCTCCATGTAAATAAATGGGACATTTTCCATACTAAATAATAAAAATACAGATCAGATGATGTTTTTCCCAGAAGAAGTTGTGACGTCATAAGGAAGTAAATAAGTGTGATCTTGCTGCAAATCAATTACATTAAAAGGAAATCTGAATTTATTTTATTTGGCCATTCAAACTCAAAATGATACCCACCATAGATCCACCACCGGGGTCTCCAGGCTCGCCCTTAGGACCAGGAGGCCCCTGGGGCCCCATCAGTCCACCATTATCCCCCTACAGACAGAAAGATGGATGCTTATTTTTAAACAACCTCATCAATCTGTCACATTAGCAACATGACACAAAAAGCTAAACAAGGAGGAGGAATTAATAATTTAGAAGAATGAAAAAAGATGCAAAGCGTTAAAGTGGGCATGTTCTTGTTATTTCAATACATTTTCTGTGGTTTCACATTCTCTGTGGAAAACAGCTCTGGCGCTCCTGTTTCAGGAAGAAGAACTTAGCTACAGGAGTGGGGGTTGGCAGGATTATGAGTCTGAATCATTATTATTAATGATTTCCAAACATCTCACCACTAATTGGCTAAAAGCAGCGCCAGTCTTCCACTACTTCTGTTTGCTCTGCGACGTTGATGTTTTATCTCCACAAAACACAAGCTTGACGGAGTTCACCATATTGTGGAGATGTTAATGCTAACGGTTAGCATCAGAACAGACTTCTGCAGTCGTGAGTCAAGTTGGGTGAATCTTTCAATGCTAATTTACAGTGTGATGTAGATCTGTGACTTTTTCTGACCCGAGGGTTGTTCCAGTCAGCGGCTAATGCAGGCGGCAGGGGCAGAAGACAATTATCACATTCAGCCTGCATGTGAAACTCAGAGTGACCAATTGTATTTCAGAGAGAACAAGTCTTACCCCTACTTCACTACTTCACAGCGAAGCAGAACGGTTTACTCGCGACTTTGGCTGCGGGCCAGCACACACCGGGAGTATCTCAGTTGCAGAGATGAAAAACACACCACAGCACTTCTGGAACGATGCTGGGAGTAAGTAAGCCGTTAGGTCACTTGCGCAATCTACATAGATATGAAATTGCATCGCTAATCTTTTATTTTGAAAATTCCTGGGGGTTTGACACTAAAACCGTATGTGATTCCCTGCTTAGCCCCGTGTTAACTGCTGAAATTGCTGTTTCCCAGATGCGGCTTGCAGCAAAAATAGAAAAAAGAATCCTATCTTTAGTGGCGCGGCATGCTACTTCTGGGACGCCCCTGAAAATGTCCACGTCACAACTGGTTTGAATCACCCCCATAGACCAGTAGCACTCACTCCTCGTCCTGGTCTGGATAGCCGGTATCCAGCAAACGACCAGGCAGGGGTGGACTGGCCTATTTGGCATTCTGGCGCTGTCCCGATGGGCCGCTTAGCCAAGTGGGCTGCTTGCCCAGCTTGGGCCGACACTACTCCACAGTTGGTGATCTGCAGAACATTAGCTACATGGTAACCCAAAGCTAAACGAATTTTCCAGGCGTTTTAGCAAGAAAAGCGCAGTAGAGCGATGACGTAGGAGTCGTTTTACCGATGCAGCTAATGTCCCGCTGATCTCCGCTCGTGGAGAATGAGCTGATCTGGAAGGCCAGGGCTCCCGGTCGCAGCGGTCTGGCCCTGCTTGTAATTTAACTGTCCCAGTCTAACTTAGATCTCACATTCGGCCTAGAGACGAGTCTGCTGGCGGCAACACCCCCCACCCCCACCGCTCTCCCAATGGGTAGGGCCGACGATTTGTAAAAATGCCAGGGCCGAATTTTGGTCCCAATCCACCCCGTTACCAGGTGATTAACGGGTTTCTGAAGAACTTGATGAGCTGCACAGGTGATTCACCCACTGAATCAGGTGTGTTGGAGCAGAGACACAAACAAGGAAAACATGGCAGATACGGGCTCTCCAGGACCACTAGACTGTAATAGAGTCTAATTTGAAGCTGCTGATGCTTCTATTGTGAAGTTGGGGTTATACGTTACTTAGTGAGCTTCCCTTGAAAAAAAAGCTGATATTTGACAATTCTGTTTTATCCTACATCGTAATTTTTAAACTTCATATGATGTTATTTACAATTTTCCATCGTTTCTTTGATTTTGCTCCGAATTCTCTTTTCATGTCCTCTTGATCCAGTAATTACAGCGGTCCCTTTCTGAGCTACAACAACACTGGTAACATAGAATTTCATGGAATGAAACATTTTGTAAATTGCACACGAAAAAAAAATCATCACTAAGGAGGACAAACATTCAAACATTTTTGGATAATTTTTTGTTACAACCTGGTCACACGAGTATTCGGGAAGCTTTGACAAGAAAATAAATTTCACACTTTCTCTCTTTGCCTTCTTTCTTCCCACTTTTCAAAGCCCTTCTGGAAAAAATTTGCTTGCAAATAACTGAAGAATCCATCAGGAGAACCTAGAGTTACAACATAACTGTGGATGGCATTCGGGGTGAGTTATCTGAAATGTGCCTTTGCAAGTTGTCTGGCATGTTCAACCTGTGATAAAAGATCTTGGGCTCACATTTGTCTTTGAGGTGAGAACTTGATTTGATGTTTACCTACCTTTTCTCCTTTCAGGCCATCTCTCCCAGGTGCCCCTGGCTTCCCTAGTAAGCCCTGTAAATAGTGGTGAATAGAGACACATCTATCAGCGAGCCTTCAACTGCACACACACACTTATCTCCTCCTCCTCCTCACTGCTTCAGCGAGCTGCTGTGCTCCAGCAAAACTTCCCTTAGCCAGGATTTATGAAATGCCTCTTTTTCCCTCCCTGCTTTTGAATAAAGACAGATGCTCATTACCGCAGCAGGTGCAGAGAACAGATTGGGCTGCTGCCTGCGTTGCTGGCATAAAGCGCATAGATTTGCCTCTTTCCACCAGTTAATTCTTAAATTTGATTACTGATCGCCTCTGTAAAAATTCTGCATGGTTTTTCCCCCCGTGTCTTTGCCTGTTGAGATGTATCTGTTTATCTGCCTCTTCGTTTGGCAGTTAGAAGGGTAGAGGATACGGCAAGGTGAAAGAGGGGGGGGGAAAGAAGGGCTTGACGTGAAGCGCTGGTGTTAAACGTGGGAGTACTTACAGGCTCGCCTGGGAGTCCCGGGAGTCCGATGAGTCCAGGCTGGCCTTGTTTCCCCTGGCGGAACATAAAGGAAAAATACTTTAGGCTATGTTTTTCCCTTGTTTGGTGACAGAATCATCTGGGGGTGAGTTTTATGGCTCAGCCTGCAAAAGCTATCGACAATTCTCAGCCTATTTTAAAATGGCAGAGTAGTTTAGTCTCTTTTTTTTCTTCAGTCAAGAGCAACAATTTCATATGCACATTTTAAACGCCATTGCTCATTATGTATTAAATACTATAGTGTCTGTATTCTTTATGCATCAGGTTTTTGCATAAATATTCCCAATCTTGCAATAGAAGTGACGTTTTATAAAACAAAATACTTCACGACATAGTTTTTTTTCCCATGCATTTTGTTAAATAGCCATTGTATTTCCACACAAAAGCATCATCTCATCATAAAACCAGCCAGTTATAGTCAATGCACACCTATACATTTAAAAGCATGCACTCATTTCGCAACAACAGGTGTGTACAGCAGTCTTGAGTAACAAAGGCTTACCTCCAGTCCTTGATCTCCCTTTAGTCCCGGAGGCCCTACGCTTCCCTGTTACATCATTTCAAAGCATGAATGAGAGGCATAAGGGAGGCAGGAAAGATGGAAAAGAAAAACATGTTGGGTTCTGTGTTCTGTCATAGATGCTGCAAGAAAGGTTCAGTTCATATGTGAGTTGTTTTTATTTGAAAATAGAAAAAACATTTTCATCTTATCTTACAATAAGTACAAATTTCCAGCAAAAATTACTTTGATCAATTATTGTTCATTTCTAAACTGGTATAACTAGGGACGGGTACCGAATTCTGTACTTTTTAAGGCACCGACCGAATTCCACAGTACCGACAGTACCGATTCACATAATATGAAACCGTGCCTTTTTTCGGTACCCATGCCGCACACCGGCACAAGAGCGTGATGTCGTCAGTCACTGTGGGTGAGCTGTAAACAAAGCAGCATGGCAGAGAGGAAGCGTTCTGAAGTTTGGGCCCACTTCCCTAAATAGGATGGGTAACTGAGTGATGATGAAACCAGCAACAACGATCTAGGTGAGGCATCATCAGCTTAATCTGCTCCGGTAGGTAAATAAAATGTTTAAGGTAACGTTAGCTTGATATGTTAGCTTACGTTCAGCTAATGGTACTTTCGCTTTCTCCTTGGAACTCTGAAAATCTGACTAGAAGAAAGCGAACATGCTCTAAAGTTTGGCTTCACTTCACTAAATGCGATGGGCTGTTGGGTGATGATGAAACCAGCGACAACGATCTGAGTATGAGGCATCTTAACCTGCTCCAGCAGCAAAATAACCTGTTTTAAGATAACATTAGCTCGATAGTTTAGTTTTTGTTTACACAGCTAATGGTGCGTTCGTTTTCTCCTCGGAAATTCCAACTTCCGAGTAGGAAAAATAAACAGTTTGAAAATGAACGACAAAAGGAATGAAGATACACAGTAAATTTAGTTTAGTTCACATCAAAGATGTTTGCTCCAGTTTAATTTGCAGTTCATAAAACTACAAGGACCCACCATCACACAGTTTGTCCAGAGGAGAAAGGAGAGGAAAAGGAGTACATGGAGCTGGTTTAGTTTGTGGAACACCACGATATTATAATACAAACTGTTGTATGTTATCGAAGTTTGTTTTAGTTTAATTTGTAGTTTATAATACACAGTCTCCTCATTATAGTTTTTGCAGAGGGCATAGAAGAGGAATAGGAGTCCCGGAGCTGAGTTTGTTTTTGCACCATTGGCTAATATATGAGATAGACTCGTTACATGCAAAGCCAGAATTTGTTATAGTTGTGATGATTATGACTTACAGCTTATGAAAACCTTAAATTGAAATATCTTGGTTCAGTTTTCCAGACTCAAAGTGTCACACTCTAATCAGCTAATGAATCCAAAACACCTGCAAAGGGTTCCTGAGCCTTTAGATAGTCTCTCAGTCTAAGTTGAATTACTGAAACAACTAGACTTTTGCATCTTATTTTAATTTTTCGACGGAGCTTGGATTTGTTTACCATGTTTAGGTATGCTCTAGTTCTGACCTGTAAACACTTAACTGGTGATTGGGAGCGCCGGGACATTTTCCGGAGGCCTGACAGCTGAAGTGGCCTGATTATTACCAAAAGTACCACCATGCTTGAAGATTACACGTTGGCTAATTAACCTGCTTACACCCCACCCCCACTCATAAATTTGCTGATGACAATTGGAGCTGCTAAACCCCCACCCCCTTGCTCGAACGGGAAAAGCGGCAGCAACACACTAGTCTGCTCTGAGTGGACACAAAATTCTTGGATTTTTGTTCCAGTCTGCCCCTGCTACCATCCCTGTGGCTCTTACCACTGAAGAGAAACCCGGGAACCACCACGGAAAAGTCAATTTACCAAGTGTTGATTGCCCAGTTGTCCTAAACCTCACTAACTTTGCCCTGTCTGTTTCAGACCAGTCCCAGCACTCTCGACCTTTGGTTCCATTGAGGGGTTCGGGATGAGTTGCAGCGGGTCGCTGTGGGTGGTATGGACTGGTATGGGTCACCAGTTGGTCTCTCACCTGGTTTCACCTGGATCCACTGATTTCCCTCTTTCCTATTCACTCTCTCTCTTTCTTAACCTTTTTTCTTTTAAATTGCAATTGCTTATTCTTGCTCATTTTGAATATATTTTTAAACATTTTCAAAATGCTTTTTTTTTCTTCTATTTTTACAATTTTTATATTTTTTGTTTTTGTTTTTGTGAAGCGCCTCGTGATTTTTATCTGGAGAGGCACTATAGAAATGATTTTTTCTTCTTCTTCTTCTTCACCTGGGCAGGTGAAGTTAAACATAAATGCATACCGTTGCATCATACCAGTGTGGTGAAGAACGTTTGTAGTTCTGAAGCCTACTAAACTTTGCTACTACTTGTTGGCATCTTGTTACGTCCGTGTATAAATAATGATACACACAACAGCAGCATGGTGGTTATTTTGCTGGTTGCAAACTTGTGTTTTTCTGCTTGTTTGACACCGGCCACACCAATTTATTGCTCTATGGACCTTCAAACTAAAGCGGGCCTACGAATGGTGCGGCCTGGGTTGGTTGTATGACCCGTTTTTTGCAACAGAAACAGCCTTCCGATTGGATTCAACCCATCCTGGACCCTTCAATGGAGCCGAGGCTTTGAGGACAGCCACCCTCCAAAAGGCCCGCTGCATGTTCCATGCATATGTAAAAAAAATATATAACCTTTTAATTCTTCACTTGGATATTGTGACTGTCTTGCCCCCATCAGGGCACGGATACTCAGACAGTTGTTTTAGGACATAAAATAATTTGGAGCATTTTTTTTCTTTGCTTGTGGATATTGGTGTTAAAAATTGCAGAGGCCTTCAACTAGTCACCTTGAAGCCTTGACGTCCTTGAGGTCCTTGGTCGCCCTGCAAATGAAAAACAGGAGAGCACACGCGGTCAACATCAGCATAAAGGAAATAGTCACAAAAGCCATTCATCTTGCTGACTAAGGCAAGGTTAAAGGGGGAAAAATCACTAGACTTTATGGAGCTGGCCTTTCTGCCTCGTGAAGGGCATGAACGGTGTATTTACTCAGTTTATTTACTTATTTATTATGAGTCAGACATTTATTCTCAGAACACAGAATCCTACAATACCACTGAAAATCTTTTCTTTGCAGACTGAACAAACTAAGCTGTTTCTGAAGAATGAATTCAAGTAGTTGGAGATGCTGATAGGCTTTACAATTATCGGTTAATGTTCTCCTTCCGGTTGTACTTATTTATACTTTACCCTTTTTAAAATCTCATTAAAGAATCGTGGGTCGTCTAACTAACTGGAAGCCAACAACACCTTTCTGGTCCCACATTCCACAGGAGAACTTCTGACCTCCTGTCTTCATGCTCGAACATTTCTATGATGCCTAATTTGGTCCAAAGAACACCGCGGTGGAAGGCTTAACTGTTGTGTTTGATCAGCCATCTGAACTCCGTTTGGATGTCTGTCTGGCTCATGTGTCCACATGTTTTGTGTCCAATCTTTAGCCCATCTAGCTTATTTGTTTTCCACCTGCCCCGTGCCATTTTTGTTTTGCAGCTGGCCGTCTGGTCTTCTTGCCCTTTTACCCAACTCCTGTTTGTCTTATTTTCCTCACTGCAGGCCTCTGTGTTTTGACCACTGATCTAAAATAAAATGTTTTTCATTTTCATTCCGTCTTTGGTAGGGTGCATTCTGGGTCACTTTTTATACTAAAATTGCACACAGCTGGAAAATAAAATACCGTCCAACGTTAAACCTTTTTTCTGCATCGGACTAAATTTATGCGCAAAGGTTTAACTTTCGTTTATCTCTTACTTTCTAGATTCATTATTCACCATTTCATATTAGAAATGTTTTTCTACTAAATATTAACTTTACTCATATTATTAATACATTTGCAGTGGTCTCTGAATGAACGCCTTTTAAGTCGTTCTCTGGAGAAAAAAGCTCAGATGATCTTGTTTGAGGACGTAAGAGTTAGCTGAAGAAGAGGGGAGCAGAAGACGATTTGGAGTCTTATTTCCTGATATTCAGGCATCTTGCCTTTGATTGGATAACGGAAATGTAACTTTGGACCATTGACATTTTAGCTTCTCCAATAACACAAGCCTGAAGGAGTTCTGCCGTGTTCAGGAGTTGCTAATGCTAATGCTTGGCTTCTACTAGCCAAGTCGTTCTCTATTGTTTCCTGGACGCTAAACCAACAACAGCCTTCCCCGTCATGAGTCAAGATGAGTGAGTCTGTGAATGTTAAGTGACAGCATGACGTACATTTGTCAGGTTTTTTTTTAATTGAGCGTTTTTCCATCTATTTTCCATCAAAAACTAATGCAGGAAATTGGGGTAGAAGACTATTTTCAAATTCAGCCTGTACATGAAACTCAGCGTGACCAATAATTTTAAAAAATAACAAGTAAAAAATATTTTTTCAGTTTTCAAAGCCTGTTCAATACTCCCTGGTCAAGTGTTTTATTTTATTTTCATCTAAACCTTCAGTGCACTGAGCACACAAATGATATAAACCTCTCCATCTGAACACCAGGTGATTCATTATTTCAAAATCAAATACCATTGAAGTTTTTGTCAGCATCACAAAAGAAATGGGAAACATTATTCACACTGTGGGGTTTGAGAAAGTGTCCAAAAAAATAAAATTTGGTCTCTAAAAAGTATTTTTCTTTTCTTCAGTAGATATTTTCAAGGGGATAGTTACCTTCTCTCCCTTTTCAGCCTTCTGGCTCGTGCCATCCTTAATGAAAACAGAACAAGAGGAAACAAACCACATTTTATGTGACTGAAATGCACATTTCATTGCAGTTAGAACAAAGAAAGCAAGTACAACACCATGTTTGACAAACAGATGCTTACTGTTTCAGAGAGCTGTCTTAATCCATGAGCTGTCATCACCTAGAAGTAATAAAAGAGACACACTGCTCTGTTCATATTACACAATTGCTGCCAGTAAACATAAAGATGGTGGAAATAAACTGGATTACTGCAAGATTTGTAGCCAAACATAATATGTGGTGAGAATTTTTTTTCTCCTTCATGTTTTTTGCAAATTCAGTGTGACAGCATATACTGTAATACTGCTTGTAAATGTGGGAGTCTTTGTCCATTCGTCCATTTTCATCCAGAAAATCCAGACTTCCCTCTCCCCAGCCACTTGGGCCAGCTCCTCTGGGGGAATCCCATGGTGATCCCTGGCCAGTTGAGAAACATAGTCCCTCCAACGTGCTCTGGGGTTTCCTGTAGGTCTTCTCCCAGTTGGACGTGCCCGGAAAACCTCACCAGGATATGGTCCTGCTCATTGGAGGAGTTCAAGTATCTCAGGGTCTTGTTCAGGAGTGACAGAAAGATGGAGCACAAGATCGATAGGCAGATTGGTGCTGCATCTGCAGTGATGAGGGCATTGTAATGGTCTGTCATGGTGAAGAGATTAATATCCCAACCCTCACCCACGGTCACGAGCTTTGGGGAGTGACCAAAAGTATGAGATTGAGGATACAAGTGGCCAAAAGTAGTTTTCTCCACAGGGTGGCTGAGTTCTCCCTTAGAGATAGGGTGAGAAGCTCAGTCATCGGGAAGGAGCTCGGAGCAGATCCACAGCTTCTCCACATCAAGAGGAACCAGTTGAGGTGGCTTGGGCATCTAGTTAGGATGCTTCCTAGATGCCTCCCTTGTGAGGTTGTCCAGGCATGTCCAACCAGGAGGAGACCTAAAGGAAGACCCAGGACACGCTGGGGTGACTATGTTTCTCGGCTAACCAGAGAACGTCTCAGGATTTCCCTGGAAGAGCTGGCCCAAGTGGCTGGGGAGAGGGAAGTCGGTGCCTCTCTGCTCAGGCTGCTGCCTAAGACCCCCAGAGAAGCAGAAGAAAATGGGTGGATTCTGCAAAGATGTTTTTTTCTATGACAACACATTTTTAAAAGCTATTTTTTTCCCATTCATTTAAAACCTTACCCTGCAAACAGTTAACGTCGCATGGACGTGCATATCATGTCTATATTGAGTCCGTCGGTCCAGGCCACATTGGGATAATTTCTAAACCCAACTATCTCAATTGCTATTTTTTATTCAGACCATTTTGATTTTATATGTTTCCAAGAAAAATATAAATAATTTCAGAGATACCATACTTTTATGATGTTTGGTATTACGGACAATCTAGTCAGATTTTTAATCTGAAGAGTCTTTCCTGGTTAAATAACGATTAAATACAATTAAAATACAATTAAAAGGATACAAATGTAGATGTATTCTTGGTATTAGAATTTTTAGCATTGCTACTGGCCACATCCTGTGATAATATAGCAAATAACATATGTTTTTAAGGTGTTTATTGTTTACCTGTCCCAGTCCCCCCAGGTACAGCATGTGTGTGAGCCTTTCTGTATTATTTATTTATTTATTTATTTATTTATTTATTTATTTATTTATTTATTTATTTTTATTACAGGCTCTGTTAATTTGACATGAAACCCTTTCTCTATATTGACAGTGGTCAGAGTGAGCAGGATGCTGAATCCCACTGGTATGGCTGCATAATCAGTCAAGCTTCACCTGCTGCGACAAAACAAAGTGGCTGCTTTTGTCCTCAGATAGAAATAACAAAGTTTTATTTCCATCAGTGTTTAATCCTTTTTTAAACAGTTTTCCTCAAGAGCTGTAAAATACAGAACAGAACACAAGTTGGCATAACAGATTTGGTTTTACAGATAATAAAACTCTGCTGTAAAGCAAAGGAGCGATAAACTCAGGATGGTCTCGGATCTAGAACCAATGCTTTTTATTCCTTTTAAGGGCATTGGTTGACATCCTGACTGCTGCCTCTTGTCACTAATAAACGGAAGCACATGGAGGCTTATGAATGGAGGGTAATGATCTGAACCTCTGCCTCTGCTGTGTGAGGGAAATCAATGCTTAACTGCCAAAATTATCTGCCAAGGGAAGGAAGAGAGCACAGACAGAGACCGGTACCAAATATTCAGACTCATTCATCAAACGACCAATGTTTTTCCCTATGCTGGTGCTCTGTGGATGCAGCGCGTCTCCTGGTTCATCAACAGATCAACACCTCACAAATGAACCAAAAACACGTCTGAGAATGATATTTAGGGAAATCTAACTGCAATGTTTTAACTAGCCATTCAAATCACCTTTCTGGTTTTTTCTAATGAGAGGACTTTTTGTTGCATTGACCGAAACCAGGGGAGAGAGGGAAGGATATTTGTTCAATCTATAATTAAGCTGTCTAATTTCCATTTGAATCGCTCGCTAACAAGCGATGAAAATGAGAATGCGGGTGAGAGCCATCAAAACTTTGTTTTCAAGCTCTTGTCTGAGGCCTTCGGAGGTTCTAAAGGAAGCAGGTCTTCAGAACAAAACCCATTAGCGCAGTCGTCTAAATGTCAAAGCCCTTGCGTTGAGAAAGAAAAACTCCAAAATCATGTTTTCATTTGACACTTATATTCTTTAATTTTCCGTTGCACGTCTTTGGAGTCATTGGGTCCATTTCCACTATCGGAGCCCTCAGGGTGTTGTACCGGACGTTTGTGGAATGCACATGTGTCCAATGCAACGAGCTGGGCCGGTTCAAGGACCAATCCAGCACCTAAACTGGGGTATGTACTCAGGGATTTTGCTGTAACTCCTATAATGGAAACGCAGCTACTGCTACTAGGAGTGGGCCATGTTCAGTTCAATTCAATTCAGTTCAATTCAATTCAATTCAATTCAATTCAAGTTTATTTATATAGTGACAAATCACGACAAGAGTCGTCTCAAGGCACTTCACATTTTAAACATTCCAATACAGGTCAGTTCATTAGGCCAATCAGAAAAAGTTTCTTATATAAGGAACCCAGCAAATTGCATCGAGTCACTGACTAGTGTCAGTAACTTTACAGCAATCCTCATACTGAGCAAGCATTTAGCGACAGTGAAGGGGAAAACTCCCTTTTAACAGGAAGAAACCTCCAGAGGATCCTGGCTCAGTATAAGCAGCCATCCACCACAACTCACTGGGGATCGAGAAGACAGATCAGACACACACACACACACACCAACACCAGCCCACCCACACACACACACAACATATATACCAAGTAGTGTTTCTATGGTTACATTGTGATTTTTTGGTAAATATTCTATTAGGTGAGAGATAAACTTTATTGCATTTATCCTAGTGAATCTATAATTAAACTAGTAAACTAGTAGTAGCACATTCAATGTCAAGAAATATCAGCCTTTTCACAATAATATCGGTATATATTTTTTTGCCCGGTAAAACAAACAAACCGTGATTTACTACGTTACGTCAACACATCCTTACTCTCACGAGGGTCAAGCGGCACAAAGTTATTAAAGTTGTTAAGGCAAACATGGCTGGAGTGTTTCGCTCATATGAGCAACTAAAGAGTCATGGTAGTTCTGAGGTGTTTTGGGTCCTGCAGACCCCCCGACCTGTCCCCTGGTCACGGCGGTGGGCTCAGCCTACAGCTCGCCCCACACGAAAGCAAACAGCTGAGCTAACAGTCAGTCGCGGCCATATGCTCAGCAGATTCCTCGCTGTGTGCGCCTAATTTTCACTGAGTTTGCTGCCTCACAAGACACTGAAGTGAAAATCAAGCCAGTCTGATGATGTTGACGAGGTGTTGCCGCCATCGTTGTTTGGAGGTTAGGAAGGTATGGGTATGGTCGTGACTGCAAAGAAGGACCAGGCAAGGAGTTTATGGCATACCCATACTTTCATAATCTTCAAACGACGGTGGCGGCAATGCCTCACCAACAAAACAAGTTTTCGACGCCTGAAGTGTTGAAAAATGACGATGGTGACCAAGCGTTTGTTTCCGACTCGTTGGGAGCCCCAGTGCGTTGGGAGGCGACGCGATGTGCCAGAGCATCGTTTTCCAACTGCTGTGGTAAAACAGAGATTTCACTGAATTGTGACCTTTACCCTCTCTCTATTTAACCTTCCCCTTCCCCTCACCCCCATCCTAATCTTAACCCTCTTGCGCATGCAAAACTTTGTTTCTAGTTGTAATGTCCCTCTCCAACACAGTTAACGGGAAGTTTAGAATGAGAAACATGGCTGGAGTGTTGGGACTCCCAAAGCGTCAGAAACAAATGCTTGGTCACCCATCATCATTTTTCGACGCTTCAGGTGTGAGAATGTGTTGTGGAATCATGTGAGGGTGTAGCGTGAAGTACGCACACAGGGACTTTCTATCCCCCGTGAAGCAAAAATATCAAACCAGTTTGATTTTCACCTCAGCACCTCTTGAGGCAGAAAACTAAGTGAAATTTAGGCGCACACCGCGAGGAATCTGCTCAGCAAACAGCCACAAATGACTGTTAGCTTAGCTGTTTGCCCTCAAGAGTGCTAACACCAGATATGACAATAGATGAAACTGGCAACAGCTGTGAAACTCACAGATCAGCAGTGATAAAGTAAATTTTTGTTTAGAAAAATGGGCTACAGTAAACAAATTTGACCACAAGATGACATTCTTACTTCATTCTTACATAAATCTTTTTTAACTGATTTGCCAAAGTGTGGTTTTGAAATTAAAATGTTGAGTTCTCTCCCCTCTAACAGCTCTGAGTCACTTTCAGCACTCATCAGAAATCCACCAGGCTGTTGTTTGTTTCCTAACTAAAAGCTACGCTCGAGCCCTCTACAAAAAATAATTTTCTCTAATTTACAATCATGGATGTTACAAACAGGTCACGTGTTCTGCCACCCTCATTAATTCACTCTATCAAGCTCCTTTTTTGTTCCAAGTGACAGATGAAACCATCAGAAGCAAAGTGGCTGGAGCAAATGTGTTCATTTGATCCCAAAGACTCCAGAAAATCACAGTCCCCAGCATTTATTGCCTTTTATGTTATTTTGCGCACCATCACTTGGTATGCACATCACTGTAGATCATTCACCGGGAGATTGCTGGAAACAAGCAGCGACTTCATTACTTAAAGAAACAAGGGTGCTCTTCTCAGAGAAATTTCACACAACTAATCTCATCTATCGTCAAAAAGAAAGGCTTCCCGTATTTGACGCCCTCCACCGACCCTGCTCCGCTGCTAATACATAGAACAGGGGAGACATCAGTTCACATCTAAAGATAGAATAAATCTGCAGCTACTTCAGGGAAAGGAAATTGCTTACAAGACGATTTGGCCTCATGTTGAGGGTGTGACAGCAAAAAGCAAACACGGATCTGCTGTTTACGTCTGCTCTTCAGTCTTCCTTTTGCACAGATTGAACATTTACTGATGCATGTGAGGTTTGTCCTCTTTCTGTCGTTCGTGCAACCGCATCTGTTATCTCATATGTAGTAACTAAAATAATATTTTTCTGGTAGAGGTAAAAAAACAAAAAGGCTGTCAAGTGGAGTTTGATCATAATGTTGTACTCACAGGACCAGGAGGACCAGGAGGACCGACATCGCCCTGCAGATTCAATAAAAACAAAGAATTAATCAGTGTCTAAACACAAATGAAAATGCTCTTTTAAAAGATTCTTCCCTCAAGACAAATGATCATGCTGTCACGGACAGCTGCATCTGTAGATTGCAAACAAATAAACTTAAAATATAATTAAACTCAGCTTTTGAAGCAAAAGAAAGCTGAGCTTCACACGGTCATTAACAATGTTGTATGCTTTTAAAACACTCCTATCACATGTAGTCCTGTGCATAGGGAGCTCCAGAAAGTACCACATGGTTTTTGATTGTCAGGTATGGCTTGAACCCATCAACATATAAACTGCACAATTCGTGTCCATAAACTCGAATTATACGTTTTTGTGCCCAAATGCGAAGTTCCCACCGCCACCTGTTTGACCTTGTCACAGGTCCCGTCACGCCCAGACAATCCAAAAATGGCAAAAGAGGTGGAGCTGAGGGCGGGGGTGTTACGTTTGGAAAAGGGTTGGGTTGGAACCAAATGCTATTAGCTAACTTGGCTAACCCAAGAAATTAAGAAGGGCTCTTTGGATCGGGGAATCCCCCCCCCCCCCCCCCCCCCCCCCCGCATGGCAGACTGGCTCCCGTGCGAGGATGTAGTCATGCTGATCACCTGTTGAGATCTAATATGGACTGGGACTGTTAAATTACAGGCGGAGCTTCAGACCGATGCGACCGTAACCGGGGGCCGTGGCCTTTTACATCAGCTCTTGCTCCACGGTCAGAGATAAGCGATGCTAGCTACATGCTAACCCAAAGCTAACAGGGTTTTCTGGCCGTTTTCAGCAAGAAAAATGCAGTAGAGCTACTCCAAAGTAAAGGCACTTCTGGCCTGCTTAGTGACAAAATCATAACTAGGTAAGCTGATCGCGGATATTGAGCTTCGCTGGTCCACCGTGGTGAAAGATCCGCGTGTCCGCCGTTGTTGATGTTCACTTCTCAGGGAGCTAGAGATCAGCGGGACATACTAACATACTAACCCGAAGCTAATGGAGTTTTATGGGCATTTTCAGCGAGAAAATGCGGTTGAACGACTCAGAAGTGAAGCAGCGTCAAAAAAAGAGCTGCGGTGTTTCTGTCGTCTCCCTCAGAGATCCAGCATGACTACAGCTTTGTGCCGGAGCCGGAGGCTCAGGCTGAGGCTTTTCTCCGGAGCTAGCTCTGAAGTCACGTGGCTCTGATGCTCATTAATTATTCAGATTTTTAAGCATTCAATTCCACTTAAACAGAAGAGTTACAAAATAATTCTCCCCCCTCAGAGTTGTCATTAATGTAAACTAGATCTATTAAACCTAAAATGTTTTTTGAACCAGGCTGTAAACATGTTTATTTCTGCTGTGAAATGTGCATTTTTAACATGGGAGTCAATGAGGATTTGCTCTCTTCTGCTGCCAGCCCCTATGGGATGAGGGTGGAACAGCAATTTTTGCCACTTCCTTTTTGGCTTCACATTTATTGCAGAATTATGGGGGCTTGCTTGAGCAACCTAATACACAATTTACATAGAATAACATTTTTTGCTTTAATAAAACAGGAAAGTACCACATTTTCCACAGATTATTCTATTATGGCTGCAGTACTGTTTTAAATAGTGACGGCATGTAATATGTTGAAATTACAAGCTGGCAGCACAAAAGCAATGAAAATAAAAAGGCAATTAGCAGCTTTGTAGTGGGTGTAATAATTTGCCCACTCGACCAAGGCAGTTTTAGGGTCCACAAAAGGCTACTTTAGAGAGGCAGGAAAAGAGAAAAACAGCAAAACTTGGCCTTTGAGTTACTTTTTGTCTTGTTTTTCATGTCTTAGCTCTTTTTATTTTTAACTACAGTGGGTTAGAGTTAGAAAATAAATGTAAGATCATCCCAGGAGAACAATGTTAGAATAAATTTTATAAGAAATTTCAACAATATTTTAAAAACGGGGCTTCTGTTATTGCCTCTAAGACAAGAGCTGGTAATCTGAAACCAGTGCTGTGCTGCTGCCTGCAGTCACCATGATAAAGGATAACTAAGTTTTGCTAATCTCACTAATTTTTCAAAATTAATGTGACTAAATTGGGACGGGGCAGTAATCCATAATAACCCTAAATAAGACAGAATAAAAGAGAATGTGACATTAAAAATATCCTAATTGTGAAATAAATAAGGATGAATTACTAACAAATGATGACAGGGCTGCTTTCCATTTACCAGTGGATCTACGTTCCTACAATCTGGTCAAGAACTTTGAGTACTGACCGAAAGCACAAGATCGTGGATACAAGCGACTGCAATGAGTTTTCTCCGCAGGGTGTCTGGGCTCTCCCTTAGAGATAGGGTGAGAAGCTCAGTCATCCGGGAGGGGCTTGGAGTAGACCTGCTGCTTCTGCAAACTGAGAGGAGCCAGTTGAGGTGGCTTGAGCATCTAGTTAGGATACCTCCTGGACGCCTCCCTGGCTCCCTGTTTTCCGGGCAAGTCCAACCAGCAGAAGACCTAAAGGAAGACCCAGGACACGATGGAGGAACTCTGTTTCTCATCTGGCCAGGGAATGCTTTAGGATTCCCCCAGAGGAGCTGGTTCAAGTGGCTGGAGAGTGGGAAGTCAGGGCCTCTCTGCTTAGGCTGCTGCCCCTGACATTACCCCATATAAGCAGAGAAAAATGGATGCCTGGATTGGAGATAGGATTTACAAATAATTATGACTGTCGTCGTCGTCGTCTTCCTCCGCTTATCCGGGTCCGGGTCGCGGGGGCAGCATCCCAACTAGGGAGCTCCAGATCATCCTCTCCCCGGCCACCTCCACCAGCTCCTCCGGCAGGACCCCAAGGCGTTCCCGGACCAGATTGTGTTTAGACACTCTCCAACATGTCCTGGGTCGACCTGGGGGCCTCCTGCTGGCAGGACATGCCCGAAACACCTCCCCAGGGAGGCGTCCAGGAGGCATCCTGACCAGATGCCCAAACCACCTCAACTGGCTCCTTTCGATCCGGAGGAGCAGCGGTTCTACTCTGAGTCCCTCCCGAATGTCCGAGCTCCTCACCCTATCTCTAAGGCGGAGCCCGGCCACCCTACGGAGGAAAATCGTTTCGGCAGCTTTTATCCGCAATCTCGTTCTTTTGGTCATTACCCAAAGCTCATGACCATAGGTGAGGATTGGGATGTAGATCGACCGGTAAATCGAGAGCCTGGCTTTCTGGCTCAGCTCCCTCTTCACCACTACAGATCGGCTCAGCGTCCGCATCACTGCAGACGCTGAACCAATCCACCTGTCGATCTCCCGATCCCTCCTACCCTCACTCGTGAACAAGACCCCGAGATACTTAAACTCCTTCACTTGAGGTAGGACCTCTCCCCCGACCCGGAGTTGGCAAGATACCCTTTTCCGGGTCGAGAACCATGGTCTCAGATTTGGAGGTGCTGATCCTCATCCCAGCCGCTTCACACTCGGCCGCGAACCTACCCAGCAAGAGCTGAAGGTCAGAGCTGGATGAAGCTAGGAGGACCACATCATCCGCAAAAAGCAGAGACGAGATTCTCCTGCCACCAAACTCGACACACTCCACCAATTATGACTGCTTTAGGAAAATTACCTCAAAAATTTGATTTTAAAGTTTCAAATACTCCTGGGACTTGATGTCCTGAATATTTCATTTTTTTCCTGTTCATTTTAGAACCTTTCTAATTTTTTAGGGAAACTGGATTAGAATAAAAACTTTTTAAAGTTTTATTTTCTATCATTTTCACTTTTATTGTTGCATTAAAACTACTAATTATTAAAGACCAAGTTCTCTATTTTCATTTGCTGTTATCTTCAGTATAAAGGAATGCGTAGTGAGTTGAATAAAACTCTCAACAACTGGAACAATAAATGAGCCAGATGAGAGGAGACCTTTAGACAGCAGGGTTTGGAATCTTACTTCCTGATAGTCAAACATCTCATCACTGATTGGCTGACAGCAACACGACTCTACCGCTGACGGTTCACTCTGGAACATTGATGTTTTATCTCCACAAATAACATGAGCCTGGAGGAGTTTGGCTGTGTGGTGGAGTTGCTAATGCTAACTGTTAGCTTCTACTAGCCGAGACATTCTCTGGTCTCTCCTGAAAGCCAAATCTACAACAGCCTTCCCTGTCCTGAGCCAAGACGAGTCTTTGAATGTGAATTTGACAACGTGATGTAAATCTCAGTGGCTTTACCAATCTGATCAGTGGCTAATGCAGGAAATAGGGGTAGTGGACTATTTTCACGTTCAGCCTTATTCTCCCTCGATATCTGGCTGATCTCCTACAGATTTCCTAAAATGACATTTACATGAAGCTTTCAAGTAAAATAAAGACAAATAGAAATGCTGAGGACAAAACAAAGACGTTTAGCTTTGATTGCTTTCTCATGCCGCCTCAGGTTTCCACTGCAAAGTATAAATTGGACACAGTTATATAATCACTTACAAGGACAAAACAACACACACACACACACACACACACACACACACACACACACACACACACACACACACACACACACACACACACACACACACACACACACACAGCCTGTTTGCTGCAAGAACATGAGTTGATTCATGCTTATTGGAGACAAACAATATCAAAAGAAGAAATAATCACCCACAAATTGGTTATTTTACGCTGTGTGGCTTCAAAAAGATGTTTGGAGGATAGTCAGACTTAAAAAGGACAAATAACACAAAGACCTTTGATGAAAGCATTTGAAACTACTTCCAGCCTCTCAACGCAGGCTGAGTTTCAGGAGCACAAAGAGAGGGACTTATCATGTCTGACTCTTGACATTGATGGGACTTACTTTTTGTCCTTTCACGCCGCCATTCCCCTCGGCACCTGGCTGACCCTGTGGGAAGAGGCCTCAGTTAATGAGTGTGCAACACAGCGGCATCGTAAATGTCACTGCAAGGGAAAATACGTACAGGATCTCCTCGCTCTCCCTTCTCCCCCTTTCCCCTCGAGAATCCAGACTCCCCCTTCTCCGCCTGCATGTGAACAGAGCACATCGCCGACACTGACTGACAGCAAAGGCAGGGCGGAAAGACAGAGAGAGAGATGCCAGAGCGAAGCTAAGGCAAGGGACAGTTGCTTTGAATAAGAAATCAGAAAAGCACACATCCGTCTCAGAATCACACCTCGGTGAGGGGAGTAGAGAAACACGTTTTAAACGTATGGCTTTGTGGTGTTACACGAGTCTTGCACTAAAATGAAAAACTTAAACCCCTGTTGCACTGCAGCACTAGTTTCATCATAAACTCATTTTCTTGTCTACCAATAGATGGCACTTTAGGACTGCGGGTGTGCAGCCGTTGGAGGATTTCTTTCAGCCAGTGAAAATTCAGGTGGCACCTTGATCAGGATGAAACCCAGGATTCATAAACAGAAACACAAGTCGTTTTCTTTCTAACTGACGAAAAGGACTTTTATTCAGTTCTTAGTTTCATATTCTGAATAAATCCAGCAGATTAAAGGCACCAGATGTAGACTTATGTCTCCATATGACCGGATACTGAAGAGGTCAAACTGTAGCTGAAAAACTGACCATTCCTGGACGCTACAATTGCATCAAAGAAAGATGCAAGAATAAAATAAGTCATGTTTACACTGGAAGTATGGCAGCCAACTACAGCCATAAGAACCTGCTTTGGTTTCCTCCAAACACTGCAACGAGTTCTTCAAACAAACCTGTTTTTGTTTGACAAATGTGAAGATTTACAGGGATTGTTTCAGGCACCCCGGAGACATTATGGAGCATCTGTTTAACAATCTGAGAAGACGAAGAGACAACTGAGGAAAGGTTAAAGCGTATTTGCACACTCTTAGCTTTGCCTGAACTCTAACAGATGATAATTGCAGTGGAGCTTCAGCCCTTCCCCCATTCCATCGGCTTGTTAATGACAGCCTCTGTAATACCACACCATTCGTTTAATGAGATATAGCCACTGTTTCCTCATCCAAACGAGGAGCTGTTATTAAGTCAGTAGACTGCTGCCATATATGAACAGATGGGTTGTCTTATTAATATTTCAGCCGGGGAGGAGAGACTCGTGGAAAAGATTTAATTGAATTCTGAAGAGCCTCGGCTAGTCGGCCACGAGGAAATCAAAATCAAAATACAAAAGTTTTGTTGACCAAACATGTTGGCTCAATGTACGCTCAAACAGGAGGCAGAGGTTTATAAAACAATAGACACATCAAATGCTAGAAATAATTAAAAACTATTGTTGATAGATTTTGCTTTTGAAAAAAAAAAAGCATGCTAGCTATTTTTTACAACCTTTTCAAGGCATTCCCAGACCAGCTGTGAGTCCTGGGTCTTACCTAAAGCTGAGGACTGTTGCACGACGCCGGCAAAGAGGAGATATTAAAATCTGAGCACCTAGACGTCACATATCTACTCCCTCTCCTTTTAGAAGGAGCTGAAAGCCACGCCTCATACCGCACACACACATAGCCATGTAGCACTAACGGACGAGTAATGTTTTTGGTTTGTTCCTGCTCAGACACGTTTGATTCTAACTGTCTCCTAAACCTTCACCAGGTTTCTGTTTTAATGAAATCTGCAGTGAATCTGTCACTCGCAATCCTAGCGCTCACATGCTAACGCTAGGGGAGACCGGGCGCAGTTGCAACAGGGGTTGGTTGCAACATGTCATATTCCTCCAATCAGAAACAAGCTAGACTGATGACACATTGCACATCCTCAGTGCAATTCCCCTCAATGCAGAGAAAAGGTTGGAAAATTCAAGAGCCTCTTCAAGATTTATTGGGAAAAGCCTGTTTTTGAGGTATGAAAGTATTTATTTTCTTGGGCTTTGTTTTTGCTATCCTGCTGTCATTGTGTTTGTGCTTCTGCTCAAACTTATATGGGTTAAATAAGTGTGAACTGTTAGCTATATTAGTTAGCATCCGTCTCCTTGTTTAGCTATCACATTTTGTCTAATCCTAAAAGTTTTGGAGTAATGGAGCCAAATGCAAAAATTTTTGCAACTGTCCCCGGTCTCCCTTACAACATGAGAAAACAATATTCCAACCTAGCGTAAGGTTGAACGCTACGCTAGTCACTTAGTTCCACTACACAAAAGATGAATCCCTTTTTGTTCCCCTCCCTTCTCTTCCACAGATAGCTTAACGTTTACAGACATACATTAATTCAATGCAGGCTGTTAGCATTCAAGCTAGGTTGACGTGCTAAGCTGATGGAGGCGTCTGTGTCAGCCCAAGGTGCTTTCTGGGTATAGGGAGCCTAAATCTCGACCACGGCTGTCACATACTTTGAGATTTATCAGCTTGTAACATTCATAATTATGACTACAAGTCAGATGTCAGCACGTCATATACATATATGACATCACCAGTGAACCTCCTCTCCCCTAGAGTAGCTGCTACTTCTCCTGGATGAGGGATTTGAAACTTGCTAAACTTACAACCATACCTCTGCTTTTCTCTGTGTCTAGCTCAATGACGTTAATGTGGTGATGCACATTTGTAGTCCTGGGCGGATTTTCACACAAAACCTAAAATCACTTTTGCCCCTGTTTGAAATAAGCTCTTTCTTGGCATCAGAATGTGTCTTTTAAATTCGCAGACATCATATGTAAAATCCATGGCACACAACTAGCTTTATGGCCCCATTGACTTCATTCATGTTTTCGTTCTTCTGGGGACCGATGATCTGGAAGTAGATGGGCGTGACTTAGCCTCCCACTGGAGCAAATTTTTGGTGACTGACAGCTCCCTCTTGTGGATACGCAACTCCACTGGCCAACACTATGCGTATATGAGGCCAGAGGAGGGACTTAGAGGAAATGTGTATCATGAAAGATTATAAACCTTTAGTCATAGAGCAGGGTCAGATCGTCAAATATAAGCATTTTTGAAGTTACTTTAAAATCTTTTAACAACATAACCAAGCTTGATGGTCTCCTCCTGGTGGGACATGTCTGAAACACCTCCCATGGAGAACACCCAGCCCAAGTGGCTTTTTTATATGGAGGAGAAGCAACGATACCTTGAGCTCCTCGCGTCCCTCACCCTGAGTTTTGCTAATCTGTGGATGAAGGCCCTTTCAGCCACTTTTGGCTTTGTGAATTTTAGCCACCTTATGCTTATCTCCCTCTTCACAAAACATCAGAACCCAGTTCTCACAATCTCCGGCTCCATTCTACTTTCACTCATAAACACAGCCATGAGACACTTGAACTCCCATTCCACGTGAAGCAGAATCTCATTCCCAACCTGAAGATATCCAGTTGAGGATCATAACATCACACTCTAAAGGTGCTCATCCTCAGCCCAGCTGCTTCTGTGGAAGTAAAACATTTCAAATGAAAACTAAAGTGTCAAGATCACTGTGAACCCCTCGACTGCAGACTGTGATGATTGGAGGTCCTGGTTGATGAGGCCAATGGGATCACGTCATCCACAACAAGCTGCGATGTAATCTATAAGCATTTCAACCAGAGAGCCCCTCACCCATAGAAAATCTGTCCTTTGCATCTTGTTATTTTTAATTTGAGTGGGTTTCATGATGACATGTTTGGAAATACCTTAAGCCTAAGAAATTGTTTTTACGTGTGTTTCATTCAGCCCTGTAAGCCTGACATTCTGTCAGATCTTTAGGCCCCGTCTCTCACGTGATTTTATTCAGACTGGTTTGAGTCCATCTAAATTCAGAAGTTTTTCAGGGTTGAAGAAAATGGTCATGAATTTGATCAACCTTACATTCTGGTAATAAATGTTCATTAGTTTAAAGTGCTGCAGAAAAATGAAAACAGATAAAAATGGAAATGAAATCCAAAGACCATTAGTTATGTTTTGGTGATCACGCTGCAGGAAATTCAATATATTTAGTAAAATCAGTGACTTCATTAAAGCATTTACCCGTTTTTTTGTGATAAAACATCCCAGGGTTTATATTTTAATTCAGCCCTCTGTTTACGCGGATGTAGCTGCTGCTGAGAACGGAAAAAGCAAACATCCAGCTAAAGTGTTGGCTGACATGCCATTTAAAAGGTCACCCAGCCTTTTTGTGATGCACTTTTAGTAACTAATTATGTTACTGACCTATTGACAGGTAAGCAATTTATCTGTTCCTTTAGCTTTTTGCAGTCTTTTGTTGCCTATATCCCAGCTCTGTCTACATTTAATCCAAGTAGAACCTATTTTAAACACATTTACCAGGGATGCACCAATGTGAAAATGTAGGCTGATGTTGGTATTTAATATTAATATTGCTGCTATTAAAATATATAATTTTTATATCCAATAACCAATATTCACCAATATTACATAAACATATGTAGGCATGTAAGAAAATAATGATACACTGATATATCGCAACATTTCATGTTGAGATATCGAATCAATGAATAAAAGCGGTGTTTAGATGTTTTATTGAGGATTTACATGCAAATATTTACTTTATTTCAACCAGGAAGAGACCCGAGGGAAGACCCGTAACATGCTGGAGGGACTAGGTTTCTTGGCTGGCCAGGGAATGCTTTTGTATTTCCCTACTGGAGCTCGCCCAAGTGGCTAGAGAGAGGGAAGTCTGGGCCTCTCTGCTTGGGTTGCAGGGGCTGCAACCCGACTCTGGATGGACGAATGTAACTGCTGAAATGTCTCCTCAGCGTTCATTGTTTTCTACAGGAGTGTGTCATCACTGAATCAAATGAACAAGCAGGAAACGTGCTGGAAGCAGACTGCTAACAGGTGGCGGCCCGGCACTCTGAAGTTGCAAATGCAGTATTCTGGCCACAGGGGGTGGTGGGGTCTGAGTGACATTTCATTCATCATGTTAAGGGTCACTTTAGCACTTACAGGCTCAAGAAAATGATTGAAAATGTAGAAAAAGTTGCAAAATGACTAATATCGGCCGATATTGATGCCGATTTGTCGTACATCCCTAATTAAAGTTAAAGTTCGAGTCCCATTCATTGTCACAGTTGCTGTGTGTGCAATTTGTTCGCCATATTTGACCCATCTCCTGGGGGAGCGGTGAGCTGCAGACACAGCTGTGCTTGGGAATAATTTGGTGGTTTAACCCCCAATCCAACCCCTTAAAGCTGACTGTCAAGCAGGGAGGTATAGGGTCCCATTTTCCTTATTTTGTTGTTTTTTAAGTCTTTCGTATGACCTGACCAGGATTTGAACCCCGATCTCCCAGTCTTAGGGTGGACACACTACCACTAGGCCACTGAGCTGGTTATATTGTATAACATAATATTTACATTATTTGATGAATATTATAGTGTTATTTACTGACTATCCCAATTATTTAATGAACCAAACCTTTGTGCTTTTGCAAAAAGGCCTCCTTTCAAGAACTACCCTCCTCTCTTTCTATAACGCAGACAGAAAACGATTCTCCATTGTTGAGGCAGTTTCCACTGAGTTATGCCTGACGTTCGGGATAAATCACATGTAATGGAAAGCGTTTATCACCTGGGATGTTCCTTGTTGTGGGAAACTTGTAGCATGGTTTCTGGGCTCAGGCTCGCGGGAAAATATTTCTATCATCGCCTTTGTTAGATCTTCACAGAACATCATTCAGAGTCAATTTATTAGCAGAAGGCTCTGTAACAAGTTAATAAACCTTTCAAATGAGATTAACTGCAGCACAGCCAGTATTTATGTAGATCACCGCTGTATTTACACAGTGACGAAGAGCCCAGGGAAAGGGCTCCACCTGTGGTTGACTGTGGGTGATATGTTGACTTTGAGCCACCTCGAGTCATCAAACTGCAATTAGGACCATCGGCATCAGTCTCTCTGTCAATATCTGCCGTGTTCTGTCAGAGCCCATTTGAGACTGTCAGCGGGGGCACAGCTATGGAGATGTAACTCACAAAGACACAGCACATCATGCGCCGCAGACCTCTTTTCCTTTAAAACGTTAGCACTCCGCTGAGAGAGTCAGGGGGCCTCAGCTCACACAGACATAGCACCAGCAGCAGCGTGGTCTCACTTGCATGTTTTTTATCCGGGCTGAAAAATGCACAAGGATGGCACCGAGGCGGCTTTTTAAATATGACTGCTCTTTTCCTTTTGGAGGTGTGATTTTTGATCTTCTCCCACTCATCGTACCTGGCTTTGTTAATTGTTTTGTGTGCATGCATTTGAATTTTTGCAGAGCAAAATGGGATTTTGTGTCATTCTCTGGTACAAGAATTTAGTCGTCATCCACAGAGAGAATATGTTTATAAGGATAAAGTAAAAAAGGCCTGGCTTGTGGCAAAAGACAACACCTGCATTCATGTGGAATATGAGTGTTTTAAGGAATTTTTTTTCATTGATAAAATAAATGTAATCTATTCCCATAAGGAATCCTGCAAATGTTACTGCAACTTTCATTTGAATTTTGATAAAGGTACACTGACTTATCGGCATGCAATTAACCTAGTGTAATAATCAAATATGAATTAATGGGTTTCAAACTGTAATTTTAACTTGAAATTATCACAAAAACAACTTTTATGTTTCAGAAAATTCTAATTTCTGAAAAGAAACTCTAAAGAGTCTTCTGATTGTGATTAAAAGATGGCAAAAGAAGGGCAAAACACACAGGATGCTGAATACATTTCTACTATTTTCAAATACATCTACTGTAGCATTAATGTTTGTTTCTATTTCTGAGCATCAACACTCTTCTAAACACTCTAAAACACATTTTTATTCCAGCAGCAGCTCTTCTCTGCTTTTGGAGCAGAGTTTTCTGTCTAAGTCATGTTTATTTGATTGATAAAAGGTGTGGGACACTCGTTTAATCAAAACGTTTGCAGTAGTCTCTAGTAGAAATCAGTGTCGTTACATGTGTTACTATCTTAACACTTACACTGGTGTTAAATATTTAACTCTAGAGGAGTTGGTTTTTAACACTAAATCAGAGTTAAAGTACCAACTCTCCAGAAAGTGTTAAATTAACACTTACTGGGATGGACCCATACAGTATAGACACTTTAAAAGTGTTGAAATCAACTCTGAGTTATTTTGAGCATGCTGAATTTGCTGTGTAGATGGTGGTTTCCAATTCAGTGAGTCTTCTTTTGTAAAATAATTCAGTATTGACCAAATCCCTTGCGATTATGCCTTTTCCCATTACTGAGGAGTTCTATTGACTGATTTACATTTCCAAACATCTCTATGTTTCCACCCCATTAACACTGTAATCTGTTAATGTTACAGTTTTTGTTTCTTTTTCTTCTGCTGGGTTCATGCTCCTCAGAAATCAAAAATAGGGTTAAAAAACTGTCTTCATTCATTTCTTAGCTATTTTCTACTCTGCCTGGTGAAAACTGAAGTTAAAATGATCTTAATTCACGACAATTTATTAACTGTTGATTTAAAAAAAATAGAAGTTAACATCCTTCGTTTGACCAAAAAGCAGAATATTTTTTGTAGCTTTACATAACATCCATTGTAACTCTACAGTGGTTGCTAGCGTCTGATTGGTCTGAAAATATTGCGTGTTTCTTTCTTTTTCAAAGTTGACCTGCTGACACTTCTCATTCCTTGAGGCAGGAAAAAAAAGAAAAGAAAGCAGGTAAAACTGTGCCGTTGAAGCACTCACCAGCCAACACATCTATGCATCAAATGAGTAGATGCGGTCAAGAGGTTGTCCACTACACAATGAATTTCACTCTCGGCATTATCGCAAGTCGACCACTGGAGGCTTATTCCGCGGCAAGTGGTGTAGGTGGGTTTTGTGAGGGAAGCATGTTGCATCAGAAACCGTGGGAAGCTCGGTGCATATCTGTCTTTTTCATTTTTGTAATCTATATCTCATGTGGCACTGGTGAGCTACAACACCCCAGGGCTGCGTGGAAATGATTGCAGACCCTTTTTGCTAAATCCATGTATGTAATAGCCATCTGCCTGTTTGGAGTGTGAGCACAAAGTCATGCAGTGCCGCTCTGCAGGAGGTGCAGGGTGGCAGCAGCTATTTAATTCGCAGCAGCTTCGATTGACTGAGAGCTGCCACTTCTGAGGAGGGAGATCTCCTCCTGACTATTAACACGGAAAATATGTCAGTCAGGGATGGGGCTGATTCTTCCCTCTGCTTTCGCTCTCTCCCGGTTAGTCCGGGGAGGCTTATTGTGAAAACAAGCGGAGTAAATTTTTATACAGACAACTCTGATGATTTACATCCTGAAACACTGCTCCGTCATCTTGACATTTCACACTCGTGGGAAGTGCAGCTATACATCTGTTTTATCAAACTAGGAGACAGCTTTATATTTATTTTAAATGCAACGTGTCAATAAGATGTTCTGTTATAAATAACATTTTAAATACCTCTTCACTTGCATTTGCGGAGGTTCCTGGTGGACCCTGTAGAAAAGACCACAGCACAAAAAATACTTAAAGACCAAGTTCACTCCCTATTTCAATATGTTTATGATGGTCTCTGGTACAAATGAGGACTTAGTGAGTCAATCTCAGTGGGAACAAAACTCTGGTGTTAGAACGTTTCAGGAACTAGAAGTTAACCGGGGCAGAAAACAGCAGGATTTAGAGTCTTACTCTGTATTATTTCCTGATATGTGGATATCTCACTTCTGATTGGCTAACAGCAACACAACTCAACCATTTGCTTTGCAATGTTGATGTTTTATCTCCACATAACCAGAAACCTGAAGAAGTTTTGCCATGTTGTGACATTGCTAATGGTAACAGCATGAAGGCCATTGTGGACAAAATAACGCCGCTATAAAATGGCATTCAAGCCCCATGATTGCCAACTTTGAATAATTCCGTAATTTTTCCGACAAATCTTTTTGGACTTTATTTGTTACTGAAACGTGGAGCTGCCACCCATTATAAATAATATTTGAACTATATCATGGTATAATGTGATCATTTTGTTGTTCTAACAATATAATTTCCACATTCATTAAATATACTATCGTGTTTTTACATGACTCACGTTTGAACAATATTATTAACTTGTACAAACAATATCATTCCAATTGCACACTTTGTTTACGTGTGTCTTGGCCAAACAAAAACACTGGTAAAATGCTGTTTTGTTGATGTTATTTTGTCCCCAATAACCTTCCATAAACTGTTAAGACAAATTTACAGCATGACATAGAGCTGTGTGATTTTTTCGTACCCAAGCATTGTGCAGGAAATAGTGATAGGAGACAATGTTCATGTTTAGCCTGCATCTGAATCTCAAGTGCTATGGTATTTTAAAACTAACCAGTGAAAAAGTAGCCTGGCAAGTCATCTTATATGTCAATATATAGCCTGATCACAACCCATTGATGGCTCTCAGGCATGGGGTGGGATCTACATTTGATTTGTCTCAGCATTCTATTTGACTGCTATGGATGTTAGTCAACAGGGCAATTTTCCATACACTAAAGGACTTAAGTACCTCTATCTGCTCTTGACCCAAAGAAAAATCCAACTCCGAAGAGTCCAGAGATGATGCCAAAGCAGTTTCAAATGAGCTATCGCCATCTTAGTTGCATTCAGTGGCAGTAATGTCCAAACTGATAGAGCTCTGTTATTGGCCCACCAACCCGATAGAGCACTGTGATTGGCCCACCAACCCGATAGAGCACTGTGATTGGCCCACCAACCCGATAGAGCGCTGTGATTGGCCCACCAACCTGATAGAGCACTGTAATTGGCCCGCCAACCCGATAGAGCGCTGTAATTGGCCCGCCAACCCGATAGAGCACTGTGATTGATTGGCACACCAAACCGATAGAGTGCTGTAACTGGCCTGCCAAACTGATTGAGCTCTGTGATTGGCCCACCAACCTGATAGAGCGCTGTAATTGGCCCACCAACCTGATTGAGCTCTGTGATTGGCCCACCAACCCGATAGAGCTCTGTGATTGGCCCACCAAACCGATAGAGCTTCATGATTGGCCCACCAAACTGATAGAGCCCCGTGATTGGCCCACCAAACCGATAGAGCTCTGTGATTGGCCCACCAAACCAATGGAAAGCTGTGATTGGCCCACCAACCCGACAGCGTGCTGTAATTGGCCCGCCAAACTGATTGAGCTCTGTGACTGGCCCACCAACCTGATAGAGCGCTGTAATTGGCCCACCAACCCGATTGAGCTCTGTGATTGGCCCACCAACCCGATAGAGCTCTGTGATTGGCCCACCAAACCGATAGAGCTTCAAGATTGGCCCACCAAACCGATAGAGCCCAGTGATTGGCCCACCAAATCGATAGAGCTCTGTGATTGGCCCACCAAATCGATAGAGCTCTGTGATTGGCCCACCAAACCGACAGAGCTCTGTGATTGGCCCACCAAACCAATGGAAAGCTGTGATTGGCCCACCAACCCGACAGCGTGCTGTAATTGGCCCGCCAAACTGATTGAGCTCTGTGACTGGCCCACCAACCTGATAGAGCGCTGTAATTGGCCCACCAACCCGATTGAGCTCTGTGATTGGCCCACCAACCCGATAGAGCTCTGTGACTGGCCCACCAAACCGATAGAGCTTCAAGATTGGCCCACCAAACCGATAGAGCCCAGTGATTGGCCCACCAAATCGATAGAGCTCTGTGATTGGCCCACCAAACCGATAGAAAGCTGTGATTGGCCCACCAAACTGATAAAGCACTGTGATTGGTCAGCAACTAGACTGGCTGGGGCCACTGAATTTCCAAAGGAGCTTGGCTAGACCAACATGCAGAGCAAAATAATTTTGCTTCTTCTACAGACGGTCTAGATGTCTAGGCTAATAAAAAAATAGCTTTTCAATGACCTTGCTCTTTAAAATGCAGCTCATATACTCATTTACATACACATAGTACAACTTTATGGAAACATATTTCTATTAGCAGCGGTGGCCTGTAGCCTTTGCACTAATGTGAGCTCTGATAATAACATGGCCAGACCCCGGTAATTTTCAGATAATCTTTGAGTGGGGCTATGTTATGCACCCCTCACTGACTTCTGTTGTTGAGGTATGCTAATTTGACTTTGAAAAAAAACATAACCCCTGCCCTCCTGACTCCACACAACACCCTGCTGCCAGTGGACAAGGCAAAGTGGTGCCCTGGAGTGTGTTTTGAATAGAAAATTTCCCCCTGAGATTTACCCTAGCAAAACAGGTGACTATAATAAATGCCAATACCAGAGGACGGGAGTCAAATCTGGCACATGCGCAGGGCGTCATTGGGACGCTGCCATTTAGAAATGTCACACCTACTTCATTCTTTTCTCCTACAACACTGTGTCCTACGACAATGTGAGTTATTAAGGAAGTAGGGGACACACTGAGTCACACAGACACAACAGTGGGCTGCTCGCTTCCACTGAAGACAACTCCACCTGAGCGCCGGCGATGGGATGAGAACAGAGTGCCTTTATTTCTGGATGAAATAAAGACAAGCCCATGTCCTGATAGTGCAATCAGAGCAGTCGTGCTTGAAAATAATTGCACACTCAAAGTATCTGGGCTACACGATACCTAAACACTGCTGCTTGTCCTGACATCAGCAGTTAAAGAGTCTGACAAGCTGTCTTAGTCAACGCACGCTGACGTTTGTGCCCCCTTTGGTTTGAGGGTCGCTGCACAAGCACGCAAACAGAGCCTGGAATTGGTTTGGACACATGAGGAAGGGACCATAACTCAAGAAGTCAATAGGCCTGAGAGACAGACTTGTCCTGCAATACAAACACAAGTGTTCCCTTAAAATACCTCCTGTATTTTTGTCTTAATGATTAAGTCTTCTTTAGAGCTGAATTGAAACCAAAATGTAATAAGCGTAACCATGCTTCGTGTATGCTGCCAATAATGACTTGATTCCCTGTTGCTGTTCATCGAAAACCAGCTTCCTTTACAAAATTAAAGCAGTAACTTGATTTTTGAAATGGTCAGTAAAGCTGTGTTTCGACTACAGGAATTCCAGCCAATTCTGGGAGTCTGGGAAGGTGACAGGGAGCATACGATGTCTCGGTCCTCCCAGCTGCGTTTGTGTCACCATACAAAATCAACCCTTTTAGGACTTTGCTAAGGCGTTAGCACATCCTGACCGTTTTAGCACATTACTAATCTTGCTTTGTTTGGACCAGGGCTGGTTAGACCTCACATGTGACTCCATCTTCTTGCCAGCCTTGAAATCTAGACAGTAGCCGAAGAATGTTGGTCTAGCCATGCTTCAGCAGAGCCTCAGAAGGACCGACCAGTCTTGTGTCTTGCCAGTGACAGCACTGTATTGATTTTGAGGGCCAATCCCATTGCTCTATCGGTCTGGGGGGTGAGATAGGGATGGCTCATTTGAAACAGCTGTTGCATCAACTTTGAACTATTTAGATTTGTTTACTTAGAAAAAGAATGTATTTGGGTTTTCTTCAACGGTGTATGGCAGACTATGCCACTGACTGACATCATGTTCGTTGTGCAATTGCATGCAGGGAAAACTGTAGATTCTGCCCCACGACGGCGCCAGTGGCGTGCCCAGGTCTTTTAAAATGCGGGGCACTTGTTTATGCATAGGTGGCACCTATAGTTTTGCTTTTTATTTAGAAAAAAAATAGGGGGGGGGGGGGGGGTCACCCCGGACATCCCTCACAAAATAAAGGTGCCCAGCACATATTGGTGCATCACTGCCATCAACTGGACAGGAGTTTGAACCAGAACTATAAATACTATTTATGTCAATATGAAGAAAATATTAATAATAATATCAATACACACATTTTCTGTGGGCCTGTGGCTAGAAACCAATGTTAATGGTGCAATCTGCCACCTACTGTTTTGGGGTTTACAACCCTAAGCCTTTTGTGGACAATTCAAAGTTAATGTAACTGGGGTGGCATCTGGGGGTGGTCAATCAGATGTGCTACCCCAGGCCCCTCCCTGAACACGCCCCTGGACTGAGCTCTATCTATGGGTCGTGGCCAGACTACATATTCACAGATATAGGAATGCTTGCCAGTCTTTCTTCCTGCAGCAAGCCTCCCCTGCAGAATGCTTTGGGAGACATTATCTTAAGACTTCTCCAAGTCTCTAAACTACATGAACTGGTCAAATAAACTGAACTTCTTGTACTGAATCCAAGAAATGATAATCAGTTGAGGTCTACTTTCATATCACTCACCTCTTTCCTGAGGAGGCTAAGAGGTTTTACTTCAAATGGCATTTCTTTATTCCACCATTTTTAGTGAAAACCAATCAGACACACGACTTTAACACTAAAACAGTTTACTGTTGCACCACAAACTATGTTCCAGAGAGATGTGCACCACAAATTCTGATAAGCACAACTTTTATTTTCGACAGTACTCCAGTGATTAGGCTGAGACCTGAGAGAGTTATATTGATTCAAACTTTCCTCCATCTTCTCAAGGTGACTAAGCATTAAGTGTGTCTACCCTACTGCCTCTGCTAATCGTTCAGGAATTGTCATCTAAACAGGCCAGACGTGGATCAAATCATGGGTAATTTATCACACACCGACAGATACAGTGAAAAAAATAAAGGATGTGTCTAATATCAATCAAGAAGAGTGAAATTAAATCGTTTTCTCAAACACAATCTATCACTTACAGGTGGGCCTCTGGGTCCAGGCTCCCCGGGTTTTCCTCTCCGTCCCTGTGGGAAAACAGAAGAAATATTTTTTTTAAATGGAATAATGCGAGAAGGATAACTGGCATAGCAAGACATGCATGCTCCCAGCAAATAAGGCTAGACAGCAACTCCTGTCGCAGTCTCTAATTCACATTTAATTAAGAACAAGAAAACAGCTTAATTGCAGCACCCCGTGTGGCCCGCTACTCTTTGTTCTCTCGTTTGGTTTACTGCTTCCTTTCCAGCTGTGTGGTTCCCTCAGTGCATCAATCAACCTGAGGAGCAAACAGGACAAGCTGGCTGATGCTGCAGAGCATTGCAAAACAAGCTTGGAAAAAAAAAGCCATTTCTTTTCAAGTACTTTTTTCTTGGCAATATCTGGATGACAAATCGGCCTTAGTGATGGAAACACTTGAAAAGCGGTTGTTTTAATGACACGTAATGCCATCTGAACCAATAGAAGTGTTGCCACATCAAGAGGACGTCTGCATGTGAGAAGGAGATAATGCTCTGTGGACAGAAGCGCAGCGATCCACTCGTGAAACGGCTCTTGAATTTATACGGTGCTCATTAAACAAAAGTGAAAGTCGACTGTATTAATGTGCTTCACAGCTGAGTAATCAACGACAGCATTAATGTCTAGGTCAAAAAAAAAAGTCTGTCTAGTATGAGTTTCATCATCTGACATAAACAGTGAGATATTCAGGCATTGTAATTCTCCCTTACTGTACGTGTTAGCATGGCTGACGCAAAAACACCTCTTTCCTCCACTGATCGAGCTGCCGTGCAGATCTGTGAAGACAGAAGCTCGATGGCTGTCGGAAGAGAAAGTTGAGAATCACAAAGCGACGCCCCCGAATCTTCCCTCTGACACCCTATACGCAGACTTTGAGTAACTGGGTCGAATTTGACATGTACGATTGCCTGCAACAAAGGCAAGGGAAGGAACTTCACTTCAGTGGGAGCTCTTGCTTTTAATCATCTGTTTGCATGTGCGCTCAGGCGCCGGGGCTGTGTGTGTACTCCTCTGTCTGTAGTCCAGAGATTACAGGATTATGAAAAGAGGAGAAGCCAAGGTGTAGTACAGTAAATATTAACCTCAATAACGACACAATGGAACCCATGGGGACTTCACATGGGAAATGCATGCTTTTGTGTATTTGGGGTGTTTGATGTACCTCCGACGCCTTGACCAGCAGCTTTTGATCATCTGTGTTAACGCACCTCTAATGCTTCCCCCCTACGGGCTTTAATGTGAACGAGAGGAGAGCTGGAAGAAGTCAAATTGCCTTGATGTGTAAGAGCAGAATCTTTCAAGCTTCACATGTCTACGATTACGTTGCACAGGAGTAACCTCTTTGGAGGGATTGCTACATTTGTGTCATTACAAAAAGCAGTGAGTGTGGGAGCCCAACAGGTGCAGCACGTCGAACCAGAGCTGACTTGTAGGCTGCAGGTCTGTCCCTCAAGGCAGCATTTTATAAAGGGGTGGATGGTGTTGGATTGTTTTTCTCTGAGCAACACATAAAAGAAAGGCAGTTGGAAAGTGTAACAGTTGCAAAGAGAAACAAAAGAACAAGTGTGTTTGCTCGAACTCCAGTCCCCGCTGCTGCCCTTTCCCTTCAGAACACAAGAGCAGAAGCTGATTACACCGATAAGTAGTTTAGCTAATGAATATTTCATATTCTATTATTCCAAGTAGGTCAAGAATTATGCAGTTTTGGAAATGTTGTCTCTACGCTTGCCCTTAAAATTTCTTTTAAATCCAAAGTGTAAGCTAATTTCTAGCTCGTGTTTGCATAGAATCATCTAAATAAACACGACTCAGTGAAGATCTGAGGTTTGGTGCATGGATCTGAAAACATTCAGGGGTTTCTAACAAGGAATTGTGGGTTTGTTTAGTCAGGTTTTGGTACAGTAGAAAATTCCAATGATAAATAAGTAATATAAGAACAAAAATCCCAAATAAACATCAGAAAATTGATTAAATTACTTGTCTAGAAATCAGTTAGCCTACAAATCTAGATACAGAATCTGAAGCTAAATGTCAGTCTAGCCATGCTCCATTGGAGCCTCAGCAGGTCAGCCATTGGCTTGAACAGTCTTGAGTCTCTATCAGATTTGGTGGGCCAATCAAAGTGCTCTATTGGTTTAGTGGGTGGGATGATGGGATGCAGCAGAACAACTAAGATGGCGGTGGCTCGTTTCAAACAGCAACATCAAATTTGGACTATTTAGACTCAGGCTTTTCTTTGAGCCGAGAGCAGATTGAGGTACTTGGGTTTATTTAGAAAAAGCATGTACGTGTGTCTTCTTCGAGTGTATGGCAGACTGCCCCGTTGACTAACATCTGCAGTTGTTTGTTGTCCATGCAGAGACCGTTTGAAAGACAACCATATTCCACCCCACAACTGGGCTCTTCTATGGGTCGTGGCCAGACTTTATATTCACATATGGTGGCTTGCCAGACTAGCAGTCTCTTAGCTAATTCGTGTTATTTACAAATGCTGACCTGTATCATATTCACTTGGCCTTCAGCTTTACTCATACCATGAGGATGGTCTGTCTGTCTTTTTAAACAAGGCCAGAGTTGTTGGATCATTTTCTGCCACACGCTCATCAGAAAGGTCTAAAACAGACATGCTTTTCAGTTAGGATGACACATTTGCACCAGTGCACATAGCATTTCGATAACTGATATATCTGATAGGAAGGTCCTTTCCACTGAATGAGGGGGGCTGAGCTCAGGGGGTTACCTGGAATGTTTCTAGGAGGGAGAGGAACTTTTTGTGGGAACGCTTAAGCCTTGTGGAGGTTTTAAGGGTCGAGGGCTGTGTCTTCGTATCATTGTCTCAGCTTTTTGCTTTATAAATCGAGTTAGCTAGAATTACTGAACCATGGTCATTTAGGGAGTCTGTTAGTGACGGTGTTAACCTGTGTCCACTTCTGCCCTCCCCTGGAAATAAAAGGACCAGGGAATGAGGTTCATGAACTGAAGGTTATTGTTGGTCATCCTAAAGTTTGTTTGTAAGTTATGAATACTTAGTTTCTAACCAAAAAGTTAAAATATATATCTTCAATTCAACATGTCATAAAAAATCTTTACACTAATGTCGTGTTTTAATGATTGTTATTTTGACAAGAATTTTCTAAAATTCTAACACGCTACATTTTGCTGCTGCTGCTGCTTGCATTTACATAGGAGAAATACAACGTCATTTGATCAAAAAGCGCAACATAAAAGCTTACATTTTTGACATTGGTGCTTTTGGCTGGTAGTAGTTATTTATAAAAGCACAAAAACACTTTAATTGGCCAAAAATCCTCCTTGCCTGTCATGAAATGAACCTAAAGAAAACAAATGCATTGTAACAGAACCCAAACGATTCTATTATGATAAGCATGCATTTGTTGTAAGATGATTATAAGTTAAAGTTTTATATCCTGAAAAGGTGTCAGAAGATTCTTTCATCGTATAAAAGCACCAACAGCTCAGAATGAAATCCACTGTAATTAGTCTGACAAATCCGACCCTTTGATTAACACGTCGTGTCCGACAAATAGGTGCAAAGAGCGCATTCGTTCACAGCTGTTATCGCTGTTCACACTCAGCTGACTCTACAAAGTGAAACACATGCTAGTGACGCGGGGATAAAACCACCTGTGAAGGCTCTGAAATTCTGATATCACATGAGAGCAAAAGCCAACATGGTGGCGAGATTCTCAGTCAATGAAGGTTATTGTTTGGTAAGCGTCTCAGAGTATTTACTGAGGAGTTTCAGTCTAATCCTCTATTAATGTCAGTTAAAATGCAACCACTAGAACTACCTAAAAAGAATGACTTCATATTTTAAATGATGGTCTTTCATAAGGTTAACAGATTATTCTAATAGTGTTGCATCTTTTTGCATAAATTTAGATTATAATATCTATATGGATCAGTTCTATTCAAAATATAATGGGGTTTCATCCAGTGGTGCCCCAAAGAGGTGGCCAGGGGGGGACCATGGCCCCCAGGGAGTACTACCCCCCTTAATAAATCTAATTTATTAACTAATAAATTATAAATTCAGCTTCTTTAGTAAATTAATAAATGCTAATGTAAATAAATTAATTTATTTTAATACAAATTAAAAATTTTATATAGAAATGTTTGGATGCATATACCTATTGCTTTTCTAAAGGTGTGGTTAACTGAAAACCATTTATTATTATTATTTCTAATTAAAATAAATCATTCTGATGTTTTTGTGCAGACTTAAAATGACAATAGTGTCCTTGATCTAAATCCTGCATAAGCTTCTGATAGAAAATAGATGGTTAAATGCTAGAATTTGAAAAACCGGACAGATCTACATCACACTGTCACTTAATATTCATGGACTCATGCATCTTGACTCATGACAAGGAAGGCTGTTTAGTGGCCAGGAAACAGCAGAGAATGCCTCAGCTAGTAGAAGCTAACCGCTAGCGTTAGCAGCTCTACAAATGGGAAATGGTCTGTATTCGCATAGTGCCTTCTTAGGGTTCAACAACTCCCCAAGATGTTCCACAACACAATCAGCCATCCACCCAGTCACACACACATTTACACACTGGTGGGAATGAGCTACAGTACGGCATAGCTACAGCTGCCCTGGGGTGATCTGACAGAGGTGGGCCTGCCATACACTGGCGCTACTGGTCCCTTTAACCACCAGCAGGCAAGGCAGGTTAGGTGTCTTGCCCAAGGACACAACAGCAGCATTCTCTGGTGGGAGCCAGGATAGAACCTGCAACCTTCCGATAACTAAACAGCACGCTCGACCTCCTGAGCTATTGCTGTCACAACACAGCAGAACTCCTTTTGGCTTGTGTTATTTGTGGAAATAAAACATCAATGTTGCAGTTCAAACTGAGTCAGTGGTAGAGTTGCGTTGTTGTTAGTCAAAGACTAAGTATCAGGAAATAAGACTCCAAATCCTGCGGTCTGAAGCTCAGCTCTAATGTGGCTCACTTCTGGTTCCTGAAACAGGTGCACCGGA